AGTCTTGTTAAGATTAAAAAGCAAACACACACACGCATAAACACACACACTTTGAACATGCTTGCTTGCTCGAGCCTGCTACTACAGAACCTTTAGAGAGATATCGAGTGTAAACATCATCTTGGCTCATGATTTAAAGGCTCATAGAGTTACTTGCTGGGATTATTAGAGTTTTGTTTGACAGGATAACTACACAGACACATGCTATGCAACGTCTGCTCTGTAGATCATCTTTAAAACTGCTGTTTTAAAGATGACTCATGGAGGCCTTGGTGTGACCTTAGACTGAGAAGAGTTTAAACTTGAATTTCAGTTCATTTTCACATTTAACACATTTAACATTATCCTGATGATACTCTAGGACCGTTACAGAGTGTAGAGAAGACCTGTTGATAAACACAATCCATTAGCTTCATTCTCCGTGTCTAACATTCACACAGGTCCAATACTGATGTGTAGGTTAGAGAAGTACAAGTGTGGGCCCCTGACCCACAGTTACTCAACTTTTTGCTCTCTAAATATGATTAAAAAAAACATGGTATAATGTGGTGAGCACCACTGTTAAACCATAAACAGTGTGACTGCAACATACTTCATGATATATTTTGTTATTGTCAAAACATTCCTTAGAATTAGACAAACCGACAGTGTTTCAGTACATTATCACTTTGACTTCGTTATCCTCTTTGTAGCACTCATCTCCAAGTTCAAAGGTTTCCTCTGAATACATAAATCCTTAATACACTGGCTGCAAAAATATGATTTCAGTTTAAGAAAAACAGCTGTGCACTTTGGTTCTTAGCAAATGCTGCTCAAACAGGACTGAGTAGTACCTCTTGAGGATTCTTCGGATGGATAGATATAGTCACAAGGAATTCTGGTTTCAGTTTATTGAGGGCATTCATTTATGCACAGCCCTCTTAAGGTCCCACCACAGTTTTTCAATAAGGATGAGGTTTGGACTTTGCTGGGCCTATTCTGTTTTAGATTTTCGGGTGTGTTTGGGATCATTGTCCTGTCGCATGACTCAGTTTGGACCAAGCTGTAGTTATGAGACAGACCTCACATTTGACCCTATAATACTTTGGTATAGAAAGAAGTTCCCGATTGACTCGGTGACCCAAAGAATGGGACAAGCTGCCCCATTCTTTGGTTGCAGAGCATTCCCAATCATCACTCCTCCACCACCGTTCTTGACATTTGGTATGGGTGGTTTGTTTTTGCCAAAAATGGTAAGACATCTTGTTTTGTCTCATCATTGTAAAAGGCATTTTTCCAGAAGTCTTGGGATTTATTGAGATGCAACTTTGCAAACCTAACTAAGCTTGGCTCCACTTTCTTGTTAGAAAGATGAAGCTTTGTGTTTGCAACCCTTCCAAAAAAAGCCCTACTTGTTTAGTCTTTTTCAAAAGGTACTTTCATTAACAATTAACATGCTAACTGAGGCCTGTAGAGTTTTTGTGAGATTTTTTTTGCAGTTTCTCCAAGCATTGCACAGCCTGAATTTGGGGTGAATTTGCTGAGACTGCTGCCCCTGAGAAGACTGTGGCAATGTCTTAAGAAACACCTGAACGCTCCAGATCAGGAGCAAAAGTGCCGAAACATCTACTTCCACAGAGGCGGTCTCATCGGCTGATAATCAGCTAGTCAAGTGTCCTTGAAAACTTTCTTTTAGACAGGATTGCATGTTCATATTTGCTACTCTGGATATTATCTCCAGCAGAAATATTTTGTTTGATTCATAGACCGTATCTAAGAGATTGATGTAGCCACCATGACGTCACCTGTTTGTTTGTGAAGATCAGTTCTGAAGCCTTGAGCTTCAGCATCTTGGCCGTGTGTGTCCTTTTTTAAGACCAGATATGACTGTACTTGTCAGTGCTGTAAAGCATGCCCTGTTTTATTTTCTATTTTACTCTAAAGGGGAATATCATTTACAAAATGAATGTCATTTTATATAAAATTAGATTGGAAACTTGCAACTGAGTTAATAAAAACATCAGAAAAGTGTTTACTGAAGTAATAAATTAAGCAATACGTCTTTGTACTGTACATGTGGACTTTTTTCCAGCTAAAAGTTGCTCCTTGGTAGCCATTAGATTTATTTTATAATATTTTATTTTAAGACATTAGTTGGCTTTATTTTTTAGACCTGGAGGATATACCCATGCTTCATATGTGTGTTCAGTTTAGAGAAATAAGATGTTTTGGAATTTATTTTTCTTTTTTGCACAATGACAGTATATTTTTATCCATCCATCCATTCGCTACCGCTTATCCTTTTCAGGGTCGCGGGGGGCGCTGGAGCCCATCCCAGCTGTCATAGGGCGAGAGGCGGGGTACACCCTGGACAGGTCGCCAGTCTGTCGCAGGGCCAACACACAGGGACAGACAACCATTCGCACTCACATTCACTCACACATTCACACCCTAGTGGCAATTTGGATTATCCAATTAACCTATCCCCACAAGCTGCATGTCTTTGGACGGTGGGAGGAAGCCAGAGTACCCGGAGAGAACCCACGCAAACACGGGGAGAACATGCAAACTCCACACAGAAAGACCCCGGCCTGATGGTGGAATTGAACTCAGGACCTTCTTGCTGTGCGGCAACAGTGCTAACCACCGTGCCACCGTGCTGCCTGTAGCAGTAGATTTTTATTTTTGAGTTTATTTTGTGTACATGTGTAACAGATTGGAATATATAAAATATAACATTCAATATATCCTAAAGTCACTGACAACTATCAGCACCTGGCTGACTGGCAGATGTATAATGGTATTCCAACTAAGTATGACCTGCGCTGGCTCATAAGGAAGTCTCTCTGACTGAAAGGGAGGTAAGTGGAGGAGACTATGTTGACCAGAGGAGATCCAGTGTCACGTTATCAGCTGGGCCTGTTTGACTGAATGTGGCCGGGGATAAGAGAAAAAGAGAAAGAGCTTTTGTTTCCATTCGGGGCACTGGCTTTGGCTCTTGCCTATCTCGGGCCTTTGCTGGCCCGGCTGACTGGCCCCATTGCACAAGGCTAATTGTTGGCCTGTTGTTTCAGATGAATGAAAGCCATGTTTAACTTATTTGACATGTTTCTGGATGTTTGGGCATGTCATTGAGCATGCTGAATTGATTTTTGCCTTGATAAACAACTATAACCAACAAGAAAACAGAGCCTATCTATATACTCATATCTGCAATCTTTCCAGTGCATTTGTATTCCTAATATTTGTTGCTCTCATTTTCCTATAGCTCTGTTTACGTCCCATGGAAACTTTTATTTAGTTCTCAGATATCGTGGAAGGGTTATGAACTGTTGCCTTCTCTGCTCACTGTGCCTTTTCTGCTGAAAAAAGGCACAGGTTAATGGTCCAAACACAAAACCTAGTTTCACTTATGTGCCAAAAGATACTGGAATTGTTACTAAAAAAATTACAATGTGACTTCACTGGTTAAAATGTTTATTTAGCATGATTTGTGACATTGTGCGTGTACCAGGATCAAGACGTCTGCGTATCTCCAGATGACCAGTTCCTATAAACGATTCGGTTACATAGACCTGGCGTAGAAAGCCGTCTATTCTGAGAGATTATTGAATTGTATCTTGTGTTAGACCTTTGCACAATGTGTAAACCCCCGCCTCCTTTTGCTCTTCCTGTCCTTCTGCTTCCCATATGCCTCTTAGCTCCGCTTTTGTGCTCTCCATTTCAGCCCATTACGGTCATCAAACAAAATTTATAGCCCTGTGGTCCCTTTCCCCTGAAAGGCCTCTCTCACTATTCTCCATTCCCTAGGGCCCAGCATTTTGCTCTGTTTTGTTGTGTGTGTGCGTGCGTGCCTATGTATAAGTTCACATTTTGACAGCTGGCAAAGCTGATTTACAGTACGAACGATTACAGAATAAAGAGCAGTCGATTAAAGCTCTAAACTGTATAAACTGTTGTGGGGAGGTGTAAAACAGAGTTTGACACAGAGGGAGCCTATGTTGCTCCAGTCTAGAGTCTGTACTGAAGTAAAATTTCTTACAGTACAGTCTGCAAAGACAGCTGCTGTAAATATAAAGGCACTACTCAGTCTTGTCAAGATTGATGTTAAACCTAAGACGAAGATCCAACTAGAGATAGACGTGCTTTAACCTGAGTATCAGCTGGAGGATAGCAGAAGTCACAGTAGGTAAAGCTGTGGAATTTGAGCAGAAATGTTCCTTTTTATAGTTTAGGTGAGGAGATCTTTATTGTCATTATTTACAACAGCAATGGTATCCCAACCATGCTGTAAGAAATGTGATGGCTGACCTACAGTAACGGTCAAAGAGCAGAGACTGGGGCACTTTGGAAAGGTTAAGTGCTGAAAAGAGAAGTTCTTAATAGTTTTGGGTTCAATTAGGATCTGAGTGTAACCCGCTGAAATGTTAATTAGAGACAGCGTATTTAACTATTTAGAAAATAATTGCCATTATCAGTTGTGGTGGTGTGCATTTTTATTTGCCAGATGGGTTAAAAGTAACTAACTAACTTGAAGGCAGATAAAATGAAATAATGCCAGATGTCAGTGAAGTGTTTTTTTCTGTGGGTAGAGGCCTGTAGTAGGGGGAAATGTGGGTTTTTGTCATTTAGATTTAAAACCATCCCAACACCAACATTTCTTTATTACATAATAAATTTTTGTTCATTTAAAAAGTGTGTTGTTGTGTTGTGTTTTGCTTTTGTCCACTTGTCATGACATTGGTTTCTCTCATCAACAGGGTCTCTACTGTCAGTGTGCTATTGTTCTCGTTTCTATTGACTGATGGTAATGGTAGTAAGGACATTTCAAACTGCACCAGGCTGATTTTTATCTTAGTATTTTTAAAGCTCATCAGACATTCCACCACAATAATGCAGAACCAAACAATGAAAGATTCATACAAGTGCTGACATCAAACAGTGCTACAAACCAAAAAAACCCTGCTTTGATGTCTAAAAGATGGAATGTGAGCCCCAATTCTTGTTTTCTTTCTTGACAGAATGCGTTCCTGCGACGAGAAAGTTCACGAGGCGATGGGACGGTCCCTTCTAGACCCAATCGGAAAGGTTCAGTAGGTCGTGGGGGTGTCCTTTTGGTGGATGAGGACACTGACTTGTTGGATACGATCTTCCAAAATGGCAGACAAGTGAACCCACGGTTAAAACCTTCCAGAAATGGACCTAAGGGAAGCCAGAAAGGGAAACCTGAACTATCATCTAAAAACATGGAGGAAAACATTACCACAGAGAAGAAGAAAGATTCTAATGGGAGGACTTCATCACTGTTTCCTGGAAAGCCTTCAGATGATATAATAGACCTGGACATTGGAGGTTCTCCTAAGAAGCCCTCGCTAGGTTTTCCTGCACCTCCTAAGATTCCTTCAGATCCCAGATCCGCCACAGATTCTAGCAAAGAGACCACGACTATTTCACCTTTATCTGATGTTAAGGGGAGCTCCCGCACCACGCAGACTTCCATACAGTTTGATCGTAGACGTGAGCACAAAGGCAGACTACCAGAAAAAGGCCGCCCTGCAACTGTAGCCATTGTGTCTAGAGATGGAAACCTGGTTTTGGGCTCAGATGGCAAAATGTACCGGCTTCAGAGAGGCCCACCTGGCCGAATGGGTCCGCCTGGGCTGGAAGTAAGTGGCCTTTTGGTCTTCTCATTGCTCTTTAAAACCCGTTTTAATTCTATTGTATGATCTGTTGTAGTTTGCTCTCTCTCATGTCCATATCTCAGTGAGAATTTTTGGCAGAGTTTATTCAACTTGTTCATTTTGCTTATCAAAGCAAAGGCCTTCCTGTTTGTTTAAAAGTAAATTGGATGTATAATATCGGTCCATTGTTGGATGAGATGAAAAAAAAATCTTTGTGAATGAAAAGAGTATAACGACTGTTTGCTTTTACAGCTTACAAGCGCTGTTCTCCATCAGCTGCCATATGAATCTGATTAGGGGTGGTTACACTCTTCAAACATGCGCTGATCCACATGTCTTTGTTGCTGTGATGGGAGCGCTCGCGCTTAGGGAGTCTCAGCCGTTTGTCATAGCATTACCCAATATGACAGGATTACCCTTTGGCTTCCAAGTTATCTGATTGGTCGGGAGGAGTAAAGTCAGGTCATACTGTCTAGTTGGAACACTTACCTGGTTTAAGAAGTGGGTCTTAACTGTGACTGCAGGGTAGACAGAACCAAAAGCAGACATCACATCTGGTTACGTCTGGAGTCACGCTGCCATAAAATCCACAGAATAACTCAGCACGATTAATGTGATTAGACCCAGCCGAACATGAGGGAAAATGTCCTGTTGGCTTTTCTGTCCACATGCGCGGCACAACAGGTTCTTCTTGATCATCTTGAATCCTATCTCAAAGTAGAAAAAAGCATGTTTCAGGAAAGTACCTGGCTGCAAAAATTAATTGATAAAGGTATTTACATGATTTATCAAAATGACTCAAAAGGCTGTCAAATCCAAAATCTAATCAACACCTATGTAAACCTCTGATGATAATTTTTCTTGACTCACATCAATTGCCTGATAACCACATACGGTAGCTCTCACTAATGTCAATCTAAAGATGAGTTAACTTATTATATTCAAACTTTTCAAAAGTGATTACACCGTCTTCCTTCCATCAATTTGCATTGCAAGCTTTATGTTGTCAAAAAGTCTGGACTCACATTTGAGGATTTGTAGGGATTTCAGTGTTGTAAAACTAATGGCCAAAATCTATGTGGTTGTTGATAATCCTGGACCCTAGGCAGTTTGTATAGTGAGTTTCATCTAGATTAATTAATGTGTCAAGGAGGCATTAGGTAACAGAGCTACACAGCGAGCATTATAGTAAGATTCAGGACAGACTTAAACAAACTTTCTGTAAATTAGTGTTCAGACTTGGTCAGAATCCATAACATAGGCAGAGTAATCCTGAAAGATTCATCAAGATTTACCAAATTTTTGAATTTTTCCAGATCCTACAGGAAGCACCAAAGAAGCCACACACAGTTCCTATCAATTTACAACAGCATTACTGAACAGTATAACCTGATACGCCTATCTTAAAGTGTTTTATTGTTGTAGGTGTAGGGAGGGAGCTCTTGTAAAATAAATACCTTTTGGTCCTCAATGTGCCACAAGCTGTGAGGTTTTACAAGGATCGAGTATTATCAGGTCAACTTTTTTGCTTCTACAAAGTAGTAGAAAAGTCTTAAATGTCAGGGATAAACTGTCACGTATCTGTGGCTTGTTAAAGTTGGTGATAAATACTGTTTTGTGTCGTGACAGCTGATTTATCCTCATTGCTTTTGTCTTTTTCATTTATTGAGAGTTAATGTTTCCACAGGGTTGTCCTGGTGAGCCGGGCCTCCCTGGGTTTAAAGGTGATAAGGTAACCGAAGCTTGTTTATAACCTAGTAAGTCATGATGATATGTTAGGTTAAAGCTGCTTCTGAAATAATATCTCAGATGGTATCTAATATTTAAACCTCAGTTTCAATCCAAGACATGTTTTACTTAATCGTCCACAGTGGACTTCTGCTAACTCCCATTAAGGTTATTTATGCCAAAGTTCAGTACTCTTTTAAATAAAACAAGAACTAATATATTATTTACCACATAAATTGATTTATCTTTCACAAACAGGGTAAGACAGGCCCTGAAGGAAGACAAGGAAAAAAGGGGGAGAGGGGACCTCCTGGACCGCCAGGTTTACCAACCCTCTACCTGTGGAGGAACACTGCTGAGGAATGGGCTGCATTCCAGGTAAAATGTTCTGCTATATAATACTTAAGCTTAGCCTGCTCCACCGATATTGCAAAGTGCAGGGCCAGTGGCAGGGTACATCCTGAGCAGATTACCAGGACACCACAGGGCTAACACAGACATCTACAGACTCTTAGATTCACACTTATAGCAAGTTTAGAATCATAGGTTACTCTGACATGCATGCATTCGGACCATGGGTGCAAACCAGAGTACCTACTGGAAGAAAGTGCAAACTCCACACAGAAAGACCCCCAAGAGGAAACCTGTTGTTGGTTTATCAACTGCTTTCTTGGCCTTCCATTAAACATCAAGGCACCAAGTACAGAACACCTCAAAGAAGTTGTTTTTATATGTTCCTCTCTCCTTTGCCCTCATATAATTTATTGTGAGTCACCTAAAGGACACATAGGACTTGAAATGATCTTCGATGTTACTTAAACCCAGATTTCCAGACTATATGTGAAATCTTTAACCCTTCGGTTATCATGCATGCAAGTTGATGATCTGTCCTCATCTGTTTAATCTGTTTCCATTGGACGCAGCTGTGTGTTGTATAAGGCACGTACTTATACACACACGCATATAGTATGCCAGCATGATGGGGAGCTTCAAGTCAGTTATTGAAAAAAGATGACAGAAATAAAAGTCTGTTAGTGGTTTGTGAAGGCGATTTGTTACTGTGTGTGCTTTGAACTACTATATGTGGACAACCTGCTGTGGTCACTATTTGTTACTTAATGTGTGTTTCCATTTTTCTTGCAGCAAACCAGTTTCTACCAGTTGCTTGCTGCAGGTTGGCCTGTAAGTACGCTGTTCTCTTCTAAAAGCTGTTCTGTGTTTCGTTTGTTTCTGTGAATCTGAGGCGGGTTTCTTCTCTGTGAGCTTGCAGAGTAGAGAAGGCCCCGCAGGACCACCTGGAGAAATGGGCAGGCCTGGCAGACAGGTTAGAGATGAGTTCTTTTTAGCAGTATATTAGTGCATGTTACAAACATGTTCCCATGTGATTTAGTGATTTTCTTTCACAGGGGCCACCTGGTGAACCTGGGGAGCGAGGAAGACCAGGGATGCCAGGAGAGATGGTAAGCAAACAACCCAGCATTTCCTGCTCCAGAAATTTCAGCAAGTTTGGTATCAATAAAAAAATGTGCTGTAAGGCCACAAATTTGATTTAGTATGCCAAAGTCAAAGTGTAGAAAATAACTTGAGATAGATGGATGGAATTCCAGCAGTAAATGTAATACCAAATGCAATGAGCTGACACATATTAATACATGAAGCCTGTCCTGAAACATCCTCTTTACATGTTTAATCTTATTATTTGGTTTTAGTCATGAATGTGATGAATATCTCTAATTTGTGTCCACTTTGCCATCATTAAATCACAAAAGTTACACACCCATTTTTAGTAAAAGCTGACACATTTGGTGTCGCTGTAAACATTGGGTGGTTCATCAAAGCGAACCAGCCAATGTTGGGTATTGAGCAAGTCCACTGTGGACGATTAAGTGCTAATTTGAATTAAGCGTCACATAGCTGGTTGAACAGAGTGAGTGCGGTTAAAGGGAGTGGGTGTTTGGAAACCCTGTGTGCATGAAACTCCCTATGATGTAACCATTCTCATATTTAGAGAAAAAACTTTTTTTAACTGCAAAATTAAGACATTGCATATTTTCTGTGAGTAAATTTGATTACGCTGAACCATAGTTAATCAAGTTTTCTATTGTGTTATGTCATAAGTTTCACATTATCTCAGTGGGACCTCGTTATTTGTCGCTTATTGCCTGGTTTTATTAAATCTAAAAAACTCTGACTTTGTTTGTGTGAATGGCTTTTTAAGGTAGAGGCAAATCTTACATCCATCTCAAAAACCGTCTCAAAATACATAAACATGAGTCCTGGAAGTGGGCTCTGACTGTATGGAAACTGAAAGCCAGGGCCATCTATTGTGTGAGGTCTCAGCTGGGTGATGAGAAACAGTGTGGTTTGGGATTGTTGGAAACACTCAGTCACCTTCGCTGGCTGAAATGTTTGGACCCATGTGGCAGAGAATATTGATCTACTGTTTGTGTTTGTTTGTGTCTGAGTGACTGTGTAGCCTACGCTGACAAAGCACCTTGCTGTTTGTGCAAAAATAATCATACATCAGCACTGTAAGCAATGCTGGGGTGTGTCAGCATCAATCATGGAAAATTCAAATGTGTTATTGACATTAGAAAAAATCACAAATAAAGGCTCTTTGTAAAATCCTATTAGAGCAAAAGAACACAGAGTAGCTGATGAAATGTAAATGGATTAAAAGTCCCTGTTTTGCATAATAATCTTTTTCAAATAGTATTATTACTATATTAGTTCGGGTACTATTAACATAGTACCTAAACAATACTATATTAGTACTGTTCAAGAGGCTGGTCATGGTGTAATGATGTGGGGGATCCTCTGTTGACACATTTTGGGTCCATTTATTCTGAATGAACATTTTTTTGTATACCACAGCCTGCCTGAGTACAAGTTCTGATTATGTCCATCTCTTTATGACCACAGTACCTATCTTCTGATGGCTGCGTCTAGCAGGATAATGCTGAATGTCACAAAGCTCAAATCATCTCAAAGTGATTTCTTTCTTAGATGGTAGATGGCCTGCATTTGTATAGCGCTTTGCTAGTCCCTAAGGACCCCAAAGCGCTTTACACATCCAGTCATCCACCCATTCACACACTGGTCTGATAGTGAACATGATAGTGAGTTCACTGCACTTAAATGGCCTCCACTGTCACAAGCCTCAATCCAGCAGCGCACCTTTGTGCAACGGTGTGATGCTATCAAGCTAATATGGACCAGAATCTCTCAGGAATGTTTCCAGCAGCTGGAAAATCAAAATGATTTCTCATAAGTAAGGCAGCTCTGAAGGCATAAGAACGTAAAACCTGGCATTAGCAAGGTGTACCTGGTGTAATAAAGGTCGAACTTATATAAAAGACTGTGTCTCTAAAATCACTGGCTATGAGGTGACTCAAGATAGAATCGCCTCCCAGTGTTTTAAACCTAAACAAAAGGAAAGCTGTACTAAACTAAACAGGGAGTCGGTAATGCTCATGAAGTCAAGTTTTCAAGTCAAAAGTTGGACATGGGATTTAAAGTTATCTGGTTCAGGCGTCCCAGTATAGCTCACTGGTTGAGCATGTGGCCTCATGCATTTCTCCTGCCACACTCTCTCCCCTCCTGAATGTTGGCTTTTTTTTTCAATCCAGTGAATGTGTAACAAAAATTAACTGTAATACAAAATAAAAATAGTCACATGCCTAAGTGTCTTGCATAAACCAGCAATATAAAATACCCCTCTCTTCATGAGAGAGCAGCATGTCCATCAGTCTAACCCTGTAAAGCTGAATAAAAATGTAGGTTTTGTCTTTGGAGCCATTCACACATTGTATGTTTTTGTAAGTATGACCATGTTGAATCTGTAGGCTGAGATTCTGGATGTTTATCCATTATTACGCTGACTTGACTAGTGTGGCACACTATTGCAGTGGTTAGCATTGCCTCACAGCCAAAGTTTGCTGTGCAGAGTTTGCATGTTCTCCCTGTGGCTGTGTGGGTGTCCTGTTACTCAGGTTTCCACCCACAATCAAAACATGTATGTTAAGTTAATTGGCGATTCCAAAGTAGCCATAGATGCAGATGTGAGAGAGTGTGGTTGTGTGTTGTGTGTCCTCTGTGTTAGCTCTGTGATGAACTGGCAACCTGTCAAAGTTGCCTTTTGCTGTATTTCAGCTGACATACAGACTCAGCACGACTCCTTAGCTTAACCACCCCATGTGATTGTTGTACATTAATTGGTTAATTACTTTTTTGAGTAAGAGGGGGGAAAACACAGATAACTGAGATCCCTGGATAAGGTTAAATGATTACTTTTTCTTAAGATGATTCATAACCAGCATATACAGGAATGCAGTTTCCTGGTTTATATTTGAGTGGAAACTCCAAAAGAAAGGCCTCCGTTCGCAAACCCGTCTGGTGGGCTGGATTGAACGTATTTGTTTCTTTTTGACGATACCAGCTTAGGTCATTTGTAAATTTGTGGCTTTTTGTTGTAAACTGAATATATTTGAGGTTTTGGACCGTTAAACAGACAGCGAACAGCACACAGACAGCAGTTGTAAACATCAGCCTGGGCTCTGGGAAGTGTAGTTGTGGTCATTTTACAGTATTTTATGATCTTTTGTAGAATAAATCAGTTAATTAAGGTTACTTAACAGCTCTTTGACCCTCTGCAGGCAAAGTTTATATAGTGCATTTGTAAGTAGCACAGAAACTTTCAGTGAACTAAGACCTTCTTGCTCATAACAGCTAAATTGGCTCTGGTGGAAACGCATAATAGCAGGTTACAGTATAAAACAATAATTAATTCAACTCTCGTAAAACCCAGTTGTCATTTAAATCATTACAAAACCTACCTGGTAAAAGAATTCTTCATCCCAGATGCAGTGTTATTCAGTGCCAGCACAGGTGGTTTAGCCATTCACTGTGAATCATTTCCCACCTGAGTTCTTGCACAGCACAATCTTCTAGACAGTGTGTTGCCATATAGGCGATACCTTGTCTTTGTGATGAATTGCTGCTCTTAGTTGGAGAGCCAGTGTCTTCACAGTCCACACTGATAATTTATAATATCTTTCCCACTGTGAATCTCTGCGCTCCATGGATTTTACTCGTTGCAGTTCCAGTTTATTTGATTACGTATTTGTATCTTTTACATTGTCAGGTTTGATAGTTGTCTTGAAGTAACAAGACGACCATATCAGAAGTAAAATATCAAAACTGTCCACCAGCAAGCTGCTGTATGAGCATTAAGTGTCTGATTTATGCTGTCTGACAGGGGGATCGTGGTCCTCGTGGCCCTCCAGGACGATCTGGGACTGCAGGGCGAGATGGGGACAATGGGGAAGATGGTCAGCCGGGGTCACCTGGTGTTCCTGGATCACAGGTGGGCATATTCTATTTATGTTAACTGTTAAACAACACAAAGAGTATGGGTGAGTGTGACACAGATGGTAAACTAGTGTATGTTGAGTGTTTTCTGTTGAAACCTTCAGGGCCCGTGGGGATACAGGGGGGAGCGAGGACCTAAAGGGGAAAAAGGTGATGAGGTGAGTAATAAAACAGCACAGACATTTTTGATGGAGCACAATCTGTGTGTTGTTTAAACATTTGATTTACTGCTGTGAAATGATGTGTATGTATTGGCAGGAACATGTTTAGACTCTGTGCAGTCTTACTGTCACCTTTTAGCTTTAGTTAAGATTTGCTGTCGCTGTAGTTCAGATAATTGAAGCTTATTATGTTTCCGTGTCAGTGGCAGTGATGGCTTCTTTTTTAGAAATGTTTTCACAGGTCAGTGTTTTTAAGTGTTAACAGAAGAAGCTCAAATTCTCAATTCTTATACTTTTAATCCACATTTAATGAGTTTTTTTAAGCACCTTTTGCTCAAAGGGGAAAACATTTATTTTGAAACATGTCAACTATGTGAAATTAATTGATGTTCATGCATATAGAAAAAAATATTGAAATGGATGTGTTCTTTGCTAATGTCTCCAGGGTCTTACTGGCCCCAGAGGTCCAAGAGGTGAAATTGGTGAACCTGGCAAGAAGGTACTCTTTGATTAATTGTATTTATTTTTTGATTAATCTTAAATATATAATTAGAATTACTTTTTGTAAAGATTGCACACTGGGTTTATGGATTGCTCTGGATCAACAGTGCTGTCAATAGTGGTCAGAGGAGGGGTAGACAATAATCCAGTGGCAGGATGTTGGGTTTTCCTGTGCTAGATACCACCTAGAGGTCTTGCAGAGTCCATGTTTTTTGTTTAGTTGAAGCCATTTTGTTTGGACCAAGTATATTAGACAGTGGTCATAATGCTTTGTGGGTTATGTGGATATAAAGATATCTGTTTTCAAATTTCTCTCCTTGTGTAGGGTGGAACTGGTTTACCTGGTCCACAAGGCCCTGTTGGACCCCGCGTGAGTGTCTTTTATGGTTTGCTTTATATGTGCAAAAAACTAGAAATTTCAGTTGTTGTTTTTTTTACATGATATTTATAACTCCTTTAAAGAAAAAAGGGTGGGTCATGAGCCAGGAGCAGTTTTCCCTTTATCTCTTTTACAAAGCAGCTCATACTCTGTAGTATGAACTGGACAAGATGCCAGCGCATACATTCAAAATTAAAAATGTAAAAGTATGACAGTTCTTATCCAATAGATATCTTATTACACCCAACTAGTGAAAAATAAAATGATCAAAAAACTTTGTTAAAATTGGACATGCGCTCTGTAATCTTAATCTCTAATTCAGGCACCCTTTGAACTTTCAGTTTCAAACAATGAGGCATTCATTTTACTCGCTTTACTCGTTGATCTATCAGTGATTTTACTTTGATTCTGCCTGGCAAGAAAATAGAGTCTCTGACTAAGCTTTAGTATCATTAATCCTCTCTTTGTATACACTCTTCCCCATGTACTTTAATGGTATACTGCTATTAAGATGACATCTTTAATCTTTTCTGCAGGGGCCTCAGGGAATCCGAGGTGGCGCTGGGCCAGAGGGACCCCTTGGGCCTGATGTGAGTGAACCGCTGTCTGACTCTAGTTCTTAGAGCCTTAAAAGCAAATAGTCCTGTTTTCAGTTTGTGCATTGCACTGTCATAAATGAGGATATCAATACCTGCATTATTTTTTTTGTCTTTTTTTGGGTTATCCTATTTTTGCGACTTATTGCTGCTATTTATTGTGGTGATCTGTTCATTGAAAGGATTAAACTACAAGTGCCAAACTACAAGTGCACAGTAGTTATGCCAAGCAAAACAGATGGAATTTGTACTAAAACAGATTTTCTTTTGTTTATGTTTTTCTATAATTAAAGGTTTCATATTACTTAAAGCCAAATTAGGGGCAAGTGTTGATGCCTGTTTTTTTCTCTATTCTTAAATGTATTAAAAGGTTTTATTCTTTGTCTGTTATTCATGCTGTTTTGTGCTTATTACCAGGGGGAGAGTGGACTGGATGGCCTCCCAGGTCTGCCAGGGCCACCGGTAAGCAGGCGGATATTCAGTGATTAATTATTAGTCTGTCTGTGCAAATTCCAGATGTACCTGCAATCATGTATGTGTGTGTCTCTGTGTGTCACAGGGTGCACCAGGTGCCACAGGACGAGTTGGCGCACAAGGAGTTAATGGCTCAAGGGTACAGCCACACCTCAAGTCTTTATTTTGGCTCAGTTGGCCTGCAACTTAAAGATGATTTCCTCATGAGGCTGAAACTAATAACCACTTTGAAAAATATATATTTCTCTCTGTCTGCATGAATTTAGAAACACATATATACAATACTCAATTTGTAATGAAATTACAAAAAACATTCCCTAAACTGGATTTTTTAAGGATTTAATCACTTCTCAAATTTACAGTACAAGCAATTTTCAATAAATGTTTTATTTAAAAGAAGTTAAGTTAATATTTTGCAAAGATAACAAAGTTAGGTATCATTTGTGTCACACTGGGGAAAACAGTGGTTGGAGAATGCAGCATGAAAAAAACAAATATTGTGACCATGCAGAATGAACCTTGTTGCTCTGAAGACAAGAACCAGGTCTGCAGCCACTTACAGTGAGTTGCCATCTTCCAAATACCTTTGATTCATGGTGATAAAAAGCAATAATATGCAGTCAGTCTGCTGTCAGTATGTGATCACAGTTGCTTGAAGACAGGTTACCTCAAACCAGGCGACCTGTACGATTGCCGTGTGATCAACAGTGGTCATCTAGAGGTTGAGGGTGTTGCACAAATTGTTGGGAACAAATTGGTTGCTGCAGCTGCTGTCGATCACCGAATGTCCTATTTTTATTCTAGTGTGACTGAGCTATTAGAGAAATCTCCCCCCTACACAGTATACTGGAAATTAATACCAGTTGTCTTGTGCTTGCCCCCCCCCCCCTCCCAAAAAGAAAAAGAAAAAATTCTCCAGTAATCTGTCTTTGCAGTAATCATGACCTAGTTCTCAAAAATATCTCCATAGTTTGTTGTGAGCAGTTTCATGTAGGGACATTTTCCTTTCCACTGAACCACACCCAGCAACTGTTTCCTCTGTGTAAAAGAACATCATGGCTAGAGCCTCATGTTTGTGTCAGCATGACAGGCTGTAAACACTGATGGTACTCCCCTCAATTGATGATGCAGTGTTTTGGATTATTGGACGTAAACTGCAGAAAGAGAACTGACATTTCTGCTGATTTTCACCCATTTTTTTAGGTTATTTTGCTAGGGCTGGGTGCTTGAAGGAGTTAGAGTTATAAAGGGATGTCACTTTGAGTACCACATGGCAACTGCTGTATACATAATGGATGTTTTCAACAGAAGGGAGACATCTCTACAGCCAACCCCAAAAATGTGGGTTGTGACACTAAAACAGTTTAGATGGAGATAATTAGAGCACAGTATCCAAATATGCAACAATAATTTGGAGTGAAATGTTTCTCTGTAATAAAGGAAATGTAAATGTACTGGTCTGATGCTTTATGTGTGACGTCAGTCTAAGCCCAGACTTAGTTAACAGGTTGCATCCCGCCTGTGTGTGAACTCTTTATTTATTTCAGGGGGACATTGGACCTGCTGGCAGTGATGGCCTTAAAGGCCCACAGGTATAAGCTTTGCTTGGTTATGTATATGCTGCAGATAATCAGCTGTTTGGAAATGTTTAGACGATGTGTTTGACAGAAAATGTTTCACCTGCCTTTGCTTTTGTGTAGGGGCCTCCAGGTCTCGAGGGACAGATTGGACCTCCGGGACTCCGAGGACCGCAAGTGAGTAGAGTTCAAGGCAAGACTGTTGATGGAAGCTTTTAAGTTCAGTTGAGTTGCTGCTCCTTTCACTCAGCTGTCAGTGAAATGAAGTACAAGAGGTTAATGCCAGTCTGTCCATTTTAACAGGGGCATCTAGGATTGACGGGTTCTCCTGGCCCCAAAGGAGATCCTGTAAGTTTGTCCACTTTTTCTGGTTTGGTATTTTTATTTAATAATTTAGCTGAAAAAAAAAAGTTAAGTAGCAGCGTATTAAAGGGGTATTTCATTGTTTTTGTTGATTGTCTTTCCTTTAGTCTTAACCCTTAGTAATGCCATAAGGGTTGATAAAACAGGGTCAATGTTTTTTCATGTGTCTCTTCTTAGTGTAATTGTGTGAGAGAGAAACATGGGAGGAAGAGATGAAAGGATGGAGAGGCCAAAGATGAAAAATATTTGGTTTCATGACATCATTATTAGCTTTAATTCATATATAGCCAGTAGCTCTTTTTTATAACATATTAGGCTGTTTAAAGGGATAATGCATTAATTTTATCTCACAATGACAATGCAGCTGATTATATTACTCCTAGATGTCTATATAATGTCTATGCACAACACAAGAAAGTGTGGCGGTGAACCTCGTGTGCACATCCCAGTTCTGCACAGGATACATTTTTGTTTTCTTTGATCTTAGTTCTTCTACAAGGTGTGATTAAAATATTCTGCTCCATAACCAGACCAGCTCCATAAAGATCAAAAACCTATCTGATTTTAATTTGTCCAATTTCACGTTCATGGTCATCTTCTCATGCACATCTGGACATTCATTTAGCACAGCTCTCATTTTTAGATCTCTCAGTAGAGCTCCAGCAAGGCCCCGTAAGGGGCTAAACCTCCTCCAGGGTGTATGATGTAGCAGATTACAGAGAGCCAAACGTGGGGAGTGGTGGTGAACAAAGACTGTGTTTGTGTGGACAAAAAGCTTCAACGTTTTTTTTTAATGTGCTCTGAGCCGGTGAGAGATGGCAAGCTGGAATGCACTGGTATCCCATCAAATGCCTCAAGTCATTGCAGTAGATAGAATGCTGACAGCATGACTCTGTGGGAAGAATTCCTGGTGCACAATGAGATAGATGCTGAAAAAAGTTATGAACATGCTCCTTGTCTCGCCTCTCACCTAACACTCTGCCTTTGAGTTGGAAAGTAGTGTTGACTCTTCATGTAAAAACTGCTTGGTTGTAGCTGGAGGTTCCCATAACCTACAAAGATCCTTACATGAAATTCTGTCAGTGTGAAACAGAATTTGACCTTTTCTCTGTTCAAGTTTGAGGCCCACGTTGAAATCACAGAGCACGAAATCCAAGTTGTCAGAAAAGAACATCCAAAGAAATGATCCGCATGTTTGATTTGGCAAATATTTTTACACTGGATGCCCTTCTTATTTATCCGGGCTTGGGACTGGCACTAGGCATACATTGCCTTGCGACCCCACCCCCATGGCCGGATTAGGAAAGAACACCCAGGGAATAATCTGAAAGATTGTCACGCTGAAAGCTGACTGGACATGCCCTAAGAGATGACCTTGAATGTGAGATGAGCCAAATTTTGATCAGGAAAGATTTTTATATTTTTAGAGGTCTGTTTTGTGAGTCTCTTTTTGGAGCGCTCCCCTTGAGGTGTGTCATGAAGATCCTTCACGGTAGGGAAGAGCGAATGATTTCCAGGTGATGGGAGGAGAGAGGTCTCTAGGAAAGATAAGTTAGCAGTAGACACCTGGTGCTTTTCATTTTGTTTCCAGCTTTTCATCGTGAGAAACAAACCAACTACTTCATTTTTATCTGTTAAGTCTTACGTTTGGTGGGAGTCTCCAACTGTTTTGCATTTTAATTTCAAGTGTTTTAAATATGTTTTTTAGTTGATATCATATTAAAACAGCATGCATATTATAGTTTCTATGTATGCTTAATGTGCATGATGATAAGTTTACAATAGTGTACAAACAATCACAGGAAAAAAACCCAAACTAATTGTAATGTTTCTTGTTTCCTTTTTATGTCAGGGAGCTGTGGGGCCTGTGGGGGCCCGGGGGGATCCCGGCTCAGAGGGACCTATGGTGAGCAAACACTGTAACAGCCATTACATCATTACATTACAGTTATAAACCTACATGTATAAATACTGAGCAGACAGAATGTTACAAAGAGATCACTGAGTTCACTCTCAGTTGTTTGTGGTGCTTTTGTGTTCTTTTTTCCTGTAACTTTTGTCATCACAGCAGCTCTACTTCAGTTTACACTTGCAGCTTATAAAAAGTGTTTTTCACGGGTTCTCTAAAAGTGCTACAGAGAGGGGAAACAACGCTGCAGCCTCACAGTGCCATCTACTGGCTGTGATGGCTCATTACTGGATCCTGCTTATTAGCTCTTCACGTTCTTTTCATTTAGACGTCGCCATCTTCTGATTGTATAAAACTATGTTCTTAGCAGTAATCTGCTTCTGAATCATTGACTAATGTGATTTGTGTGGTATAATTTTACATTCCCCACATTAAAACAATAAAAGTTTCTTTTCCTTTTTTTTTAAATTGACAGGGTGCACCAGGGAGAAAGGGTGATGTGGGTTTTCCTGGAAGAACGGTAGGTGCTCTTGACGAACATATTTACAGCACAACATGCTCGACTGAGCCTTTCCTTTAAACATTTTTTCCCTCACAGGGTAACAGAGGACCAGACGGGGAAAAGGGTGATCCAGGAGCTAAAGGCGACAGAGTATGAACCTGAACCTTGTTTGTTGACACTGACAGACTGATAAAGCCTGTAATGATGTGCCTTCCTTGTCTGTAAAGTTTGTTTTTAACTAATGATCATTTTTTGAAATTAGTTTGAACTGTACGGCAGATACAGTGCAAATGAAAAAGTTACACCTATAAAAGGCCAAACTCTGCGGCCCTTTCTGGTCGCCTCCACAGAGTTACTATTCTGACCATTTACATTGTTTCTCTAGTCTTTTGATGTTTTGTCACGTCGGCTTATAGATTTCAGCAGATGTACGTTGTCTCACTCAGACAGCTGCCGTATGCTCGTCTGTGCCCGGTGCCACCCTCTATTACACTGATCCCATCTAATAGCACTGTGACTGTCACATTATCACTTCTCATATTCGCCGTGATTAAAAATTCATTGCCAGCAGCTGTTTATTGCATTTTTTTTTCACTGGGAACCCTAATAATATGAGAACTTTTGGGACGTTTGTCATGTTAGCGGTGAGACCTCACATATGTGTGCTTCCTAGGGATAGATGACATTCACTCAAAGAAATTGATGCTTTTATCATTTTGCTTCTAATTTATGTCAAATTAATTTGTGGTAGCAGGAAAGAACCCGTCACACTCAGCCAGTGTGCTTCCAAAAATGTCAAAGGTCTCCTATAACATCTCATTTGCTGTAAAGTCAGTGTGTGAGTAAGAAAAAAGATCTAAATTCAAATTCAAATTTTATTTGTCACACACACACAACCATACACAGTATGACATGGGGGTGAAATGCTTGTAGCTGTACAATGCCCGACCATTAAATGACAGAAGAAAAGTTTTACAATATTTACAATTTACTACAAAAATTTACAAATTAACTTAGGAATTTACAGTAAAGAATGTGCAAATAGAAGAAGAGATTATAAAGATAAGGATTATAAATTATAGGAATTATAGGATTATAGGAAATGTGTGGTAGTGCGTGTGGTGACGTGTGTGAGAGTCCAGTCTTATAGTGACGTGTGTGAGAGTCCAGTCTTATAGTGACGTGTGTGGGAGAGTCCAGTCCTACACCTGGTTCAGGCCCCGAATAGCCTGGGGGAAGAAGCTCCTCCTCATTCTCTCTGTTTTGGCCTTAAGGGAGCGGAAGCGCTTCCCAGACCTCAACAGTGAGAAGAGTCCATTGTTGGGATGGGAGAGATCCATCATAATCTTCCTAGCTTTGGACTTGCACCGCTTGGTGTAGATGGACAGCAGGTCCAGCAGGTCTGATTGAATGATGCGTTCGGCCGAGCGCACCGCTCTTTGCAGATCTCGTCTGTCCTGCTTGGTGCTGTTCCCAAACCAGGTGCAGATGTTTGATGTCAGGACGCTCTCGATGGTGCAGGAGTAGAATTTCTTGATTTAATAACAAACTGAACTTTTTTTTTTTCAGGGTATTCAGGGGGCAACAGGCATTAGCGGTCCTCAGGGCGAGAGGGGCCTCGTTGGATTCCCTGGTTTCCCAGGAGCCAAAGGCCAGCCCGGCCCTAAAGGCACTGAGGTACAGTGTGTAGCACTGTGGTTAAACCTATTCATGGAGATCCCAGTGTGATGCAGAAGCTGTGTGCAAATTCAGCTCTGGCAGAAAAGTCAGTCCTGAGTTTCAACAATCTCGAGTTAACCTCCAGAAAAATAAACTTTTTCATGATACAGTTCAAAAGACTCATAATAAACACAATAAACTATGTGGCATGGTGTTTGCCACAGCTTAATATTGTATAACATGCTCTTTTATCTGGAAGCATGCCTTTTTGAGAATGAAAAAATGAGATGCGCTTCACTGACTTTATATATTTTCCACTCAGGGCATCGATGGCGAAACTGGCCTCCAGGGAAAACAGGGCAGCCGTGGGTTAAAGGTCAGTGATGATTTATGTGTCTGAACACCACAAAATGTCAGATGACTTCATATGTTGTTCCAAATGTCCAATTTAACTACGTAACAGAACTTCCAGTGACCTCCTGAATGTAAATTTGGTGTCACATGCTCACATCCTTCATTCCACACAATCAGTCACTAATGTAGTTTCACCACCATATAACAGCATAGCTAACAAAAAACAGAAATATGATTTATTTCTGTTCTTGTCTTTTTGTGTAATAAAAATATAATCTGTGATTTTAATATGATTTAGATACAATTGCCACAATGCTGACGTTGTGGACAGCTGATTGAGATGATTGAGTCATTGTAGTCACTAATATCTTTAAAGGGAAACAGAGGACCAGATGGACGTGATGGCAAACCAGGACCCAGGGGGAACAAGGTATTGAACTCCAAAAGATGTTTGAATACACACTTTTTTTGTTACCAAGTTCATATATATGTCAATATTAATTCATTCATATTAATCTGCTCCTTTTGTTTTCCCCAGGGTTCGACCGGACAAAGAGGTCATCCTGGCCAACCAGGCCCACCGGTAAACTTATATTGTAGCTATGGTTAGAGTAAGATTTGGCAGCTGGGGGAACGCTAAGATCTGGTGTAGCATTTCAGGGTAGGGAAAAAAATCACTTGGAAGTAAGGCATGTAAAAATTTAGATTTATTTCACTTCAATTTCAATTCAATTTCCAAATCACAACAACAGTGAACAAGGCGCTTTATATTGTAAGGTAAAGACCCTACAGCTGACATGTGCTGCTGCTATTTTGCTGTGAGGTTTACAGGTGTTGTGGAGTTACCTTTAACCTTTAAATAAATAAATATGATGTTGAATATGACTGTGGTGTGATTGAGACACGGCCAATCCATAGATTGGTGTTCAGAGCCATCTTTATTTTACTCGACTGTGGCTGGCAGCCACACACATCACACCACGTTCACAACTTTTACAACTCTCTCCCCAAACTCTGATTCCCCGTGTTTAACAGGGCGGGTGTGATTGCAGATGCCGTGCAGGTGTGTCCGCACAGCACCGCAGTCCACGCCCCACCACAATGACAAACCTGAACAAACTTCAATTTGTTTCAAAGTCATTTCATAAATTAAAAAAAAAAAAAAACAACTCTTTAGTGGATCTATATGTGATGTGTTGCTATCTTATTAAAAGAAAATCTAGCATGATTAAGAAGCTTTAAATTTAGGTTTATTAAAACCTGAGCAGTCCTTTTGACACGAGCTTCTCTACGTTTAGCTTGCACACTCATTGTGGTGCAAACTGGACAGATATTTTTTCAAATATTCGAATCGTTTATTTTAGCTCCGCTTTGGTTTTGCTAGCCAGAGAACTTGGCAAGGATGGGATCATTTTCTGAGTACTGACCAAGTATGCCGTCAGCTGGAGGCACCTCCAAGCTGCAGCAATCAAAACATTAATTCTCTTGACAGTATTATGTATTAAACTGCTTGTCAGATTTGATGATTCAAAACTGCAAATGCCAGAATGCAGTTCCAGGTCATTCTGGTTCACTTTAACCCCTGGTTAAATGTTCAAATTGCAAAAATAAATAAATTGTATATTTATTACAAGTATAAGCCCTCAGTAGATACATAGTTGCAGTTGATATGTTTATGAACTGTATATTTATCATATAATCTCTATCTAAATTTCATTACAGTCCTCCATACAAGAATTGATTTACATTATTTTAAAAATGTTTTAGCATTAGAGGATTGCTGAATTTAATTAGTCAAATATACTTATACAGTAAACACATATTCTTTTGTACTGTTCAGTAATATCCGGCTGAGCTACAGTTATGTGTTTCTCTCCATCTCCTTTCAGGGTTTGCCGGGGCCACCTGGAACAGAGGGAGCAGAAGGAAAGCCTGGTACACAGGTTCCCATTCTCTATCATATTTCAATCCCATCACCTGAAAATGCTGCGTGTGTGTTTGTGTGTGTCTGCATTTCATGTACTCCTGTCTCATTCTGTATTGCAACAGCATGTACTGTATTATTCAGTGAAATACTTAAATATATGAACTCATTTCACAAATATTTTATCACTTGGGTTTAGACCCAGTGTTGTCTTTTATAGGGAAGAGACACGACAATGCACATCGTGCACTTTACAACTGTGTGACTGCTGAATACAGATTTTAAGTAGTGATGATGGATTTGCCCTCAAACTGTCAAAACTGACTCCCAAGCTGAGGGGAAGGTGTCTAATAATTGTTGGTTTAAACAGCAGGAGGCAGTCTTTGTACAGCACGGTAGTACTGAAGGAAATAACTCCCTGTCTTGTTTGCTAATCTCTCCAACTGATCCCATGTAAAACATGTATTTGATTGTAATGTACACAAGAGCTACACAGCAACACATTTGGCTCATTATAATCAGTATTTTAATTTCTGTATTTAGTGTAACGGCTTATTTTTTCAGAAAATGTGTAGGAGTTCATGATTAACAATGCGTATAATTAAGAGACTGAACACTTGTACTTTTAATGACCTCTGCTGCCGGGAAAAATTGCATTGTTGGTATTTTCTGTCTCTGTTTCAGGGTCCCTCAGGTGCAGCTGGTGTTGCTGGTACTAAAGGGCCGATGGTAAGGCCGTTAGCCGCAGGATGACCTCAGCAGTACATGACATCATTCCTTAAACCTTGCATTGTTGGCTTTTTGCCACATCCTCCAGGGTTCAGCAGAATAAAAACACATTATTACCATTTTTACAAGGCAGCTCAGGATAAAATTACAGATGGTTCTATAAATTCATGAGAAGGCAACAAACACTTAAAAAAGTGAAGTTTTAACAAGACAGAACAGCGCTCGCTACCGGCCCGTTAAACATATCAGCTGTGTTGACTTAAAGTTTTCAGCGCTGCGTTGGCTGGTCTGAGTAAGTATATTCGTGTATGTATCCCAAGGATAATTACACATAGTTCATAGTTAATGTAATAAATACTCACTCTTTTGCAAATGTTTCTGGACTCACTGAACCAATATGTGGTTGTTGGACATTTTCCAAAGCCATGGACATTACAAAAGCTTATCTTATGTAAAGTGGGATAGACCCGAGATTAACTTTTCAGCGTGACTTGGAGCACAGGATACCTTTGATTGTCATGTGATCTGGTAAATATGTTATTGAGTAACCTTAAAGCTTTAAAGCAATTTGTGATGACCAAGTTGCTTCTAGTGTGTCAGTCAATAGAAATAGAAAACATTCAGTCTGTATTCTATTTAGTCTCAAAAACACCTCAAGTATAAACTGTATGTAAGCAGACATCAACTCTGAAAAGTCGATGTGGAAGAGCCTTCAACATGCATTCTTTCTAATGGTCAACAGGAGGCAAATCTGGCTGGAAAAAAAAGGGGCAGATAATATAAAAGTATATGCTGCTCCTTCCTGAGTTTATAGTCTCAGTTAGGGCTGTGCATAGGCAATAACAATATCTTAAAATTAAACGATAATTTTTTGTGTCTGTAATTCACACAACCGTTTTTTTGCTTTTGAACACTCATGATGTTTTCTTGCACTTCTGTTTTTATTATTTAATTAAAATAAACACTATAAAATGAAGTTATAAATACATTTAGCTGATGGTAGTTTTTATACAGTGCAACAATAATCATGAGGTGAGAATGTAATTTAATGTTGTGAAAGCCCAGTCTCAGTCACTGGTTTTAAGTTTTCGTCAAGGCAGAACGTCGTGAAAAATTATGAAGCATAATTCCCCTCATATTACATTTGCCTTGGGGAAAACCTAAATTTTTGTTCATGCCTAACAAAATTATTGTGAGGGTGTCCAATGAACTTGCATTTTTGTTGCCTCTGAAATGGTTGTTTCAAAGACAGGTACCAGGTCTTTAACCACTCATTGTCAGTTGTCTTCTTTGAAATGAGCTTGGTGGTGCACATGACGATAAATCAGCAGTGAGATGGAGCCAGTCTGCTGTCAATTTGCTATCAGTATGTGAATGAATGGGGTCAACTTAACAATTACATGCAATCTGTATAAGATAAAAAAGGCCAAAAAAAAAGATATTGTCATCTACATACACAAACAGAAGGATGCTGTGGGATGGCGATTTAACAGCAAAGTTGCACATGTGCACATACACTCTACAACCTTACTTTTATGAAGGACTATAAAGAGAATACAACCAGTTAATTCATCCCCTATTGCAAAGCAGTGCATACACTGGAAACTGGTGTTGGCAGTCTGTCTACATTTATAAATTAGAGGATGATTATTTGCAAATCAAGACTAATAGTATAACAGCTCACTGCACATTATTTTGTGTTTGCACTTTTATAGGTCATCAGTGCAGTTCTCCTTGGTTCTTTGCCCATTCTTCATTACATCTTCTCCTTCCTATTTAGGGGTTTCAAGGAATTCCCGGAGTGAGAGGAACTGATGGTGCACCAGGTTCTGCGGTATGCCTTTGTTTTTATTTCATTTTGAGAGACAGAGCACTGTACCTGTGTAGCGTGTAGAGCAAGGGTCCCCAATCCCAGTCCACGGGGGCCGGTGTCCCTGCAGTTTTTAGATGTGCCCTTGATCCATCACAGCTGATTTGAATAGATAAATTACCTTCTCGACATGTCCTGAAGTTCTCCAGAGGCCTGGTAATGAACTAATCATGTGATTCAGGTGTGTTGACCCAGGGTGAGATCTAAAACCTGCAGGGACACCGGCCCTTGTGGACTGAGATTGGGGACCCCTGGTATAGAGGCTTGATAGCCTGGAAAGACTTTGTCATTGAAAGGATATAGCTCAAAAACTGTATGAAGGTATTATCTAATCCCTTGGTTTTTCATGTAAAGTGCACCTATTATGCTCATTTCAGGTCCATTTTTTATTCTTAGACTCTACTATAGCTGCTTTGCATAATTATTGGGATGATATTCAAACTAAGCTTAATATATTGCAGCGATATTGAGTAGCTGGTATCATTTCCTGAGAAACAGGAAATAACTGTGTTTGCAAAAATGTCCTAAATTTTACCCTGCAAGATCAGCAGCATCCTTGTTTTTAATGTTACTGTTGTAATGAAGGTCATGACATGTAAATCTGACAGGCTGATAAGATAAACATTTTCTACCACGTCTTAGTTTTGATGGATTCCTTGTTGTTGACATATCAGGGGCCAACGGGGAAGACGGGGCCTCCAGGCTCACCAGGACCCCCAGGAGAAAGGGTGAGGCTGCAAATAGTAGTCATGACCTCTGTGATATCTGTCTACAGAGAAGTTTTTTTAATGTTTTTTTTTGTGTTTTGAATGTGTTTCTTCAGGGCTTCACAGGGAAGCCAGGGTTTGAGGGACCTCAGGGCCCTGTAGGCATGTATGTAAGTGATTCTTCTGCTGCAAGGAATCCGCCTGCATTACATTTCAAAACAAAATGTATGTACATACAGTATATAAGCAGCACAAGTTTAGCATAACAACTAGTAAAAGTAGTAAGTAAAATTTATTTATATAGTACTTTTTAAAACAGGAAGTTATTTCAAAGTGCTTCACTTGGGAATAAAAGCATATCAATCGAAACAATAAAACAGTATAAAGAGGGTATAGTAGTATATCCAATAAAAGAGTATACGTACTACACATGAATATTACCTAAATGCCTGTCTAAGCAGATGTGTTTTGAGCTGTTCCACAGTATTGGAGCCAGGGGTCGAAAAGCGTAATCCCCCTTTGTTTTCAAACGGGCCCGTGGAATGGTTAGAAGACCACTATCAGTGGATCTAAAGATCCGGTTTGGAGAGTAGGGTTGGAGAAGCTCAGTGATATAGGTGGGGGCGTCACCTTGTAGGGACATGAATGTAAAAGTGAAACTGATATCTATACCCAACCGGAAGCCAGTGCAAGGATTTTAACACAGGGGTGATATGGGAGAATTTTTGACTGTGGGAGCCCTGCTGCGGCATTTTGGTCTGCTTGGAGGCGATTTAGGGAAACCTTAGGCAGACAAGAAAAGAGTACGTTACGTTAGTAATCTAAACAAGAGGAGATGAAGGCATGGACAAGTATCTCCAGTTTGCCTTTGGATACAATAGTCCTGAGTTTGGCAATGTTTCTTAAATGAAAAAAGCAGGAGCGGGTCACAGACTTGATATGAGCGTCAAAAGACAGAGGTTCTGAGCAGTAGCTTTTATTGAGGATGAAAAGGACACAGACATTGACTAATTTGGGGCTTGATGCTCTCTGGGGCAATGATCAATCACTCAGTCTTGTCTGCATTCATCTGCAAGAAATTGTTCGTCATCCAACCATTAATCTCTTTAAGACAGTCCATTAGAGGGAATAATTTGTCTAATTCCCAGGGTTTAAAGGAGATGTATAATTGGATATCATTTGCATACAGGCGGTAGGAAATAATTTTGAAGCTACTAATGATACGGCCTTAATGAAGGATATATAATGAAAACAATAGGGGGCTTAGAACCGAACCTTGCAGAACTCCCCATGACAATTTAGCTACAACTGAGCAAAGGTTTCCCACCGAAACTATGAATGTTCTATCTGCCAGAAATGAGGCAAAACAGATCCAGATATCCCCACCATATGATTTAAGCGGTGAATTAAGATCTGATGATCAACGGTATTGAAGGCCGAGCTAAGGTCCAATAGGACAAGGATTGAGCAATCGCCTCTGTCCGCGGCCATCAAAAGGTCATTTGTGACTTTGAGGAGAGCAGTTTCTGTGGACTGTGACTTTCTGAATCCCGACTGAAGGTCATCAAGAATGTTATGTTTCTCCAGTGCCTTCTTTACTTGGGACCAAACGACCTTTTCTAATATTTTAGAAATGAAAGGAAGTTTTGAGATGGGTCTGTAGCTTGACTGAAGAGTCAGATCCAGGTTCGGCTTTTTCAGCAGAGGTTGAATAACACTCTGTTTAAAGCACCTGGGGACAGAGCCAGACAGTAGGGAACAGTTTATCCGTGTGACCACAGAGGGCCCAATGGTGTCAAAAACTTTGCAAAATAAAGAAGTAGGTAGGACATTGAGGGTTTCATTTGGATCAGTATTTCTTATAGATCTTCTAAAGAAACTGGGTGAAGGGATTCCATAATTACAGGGTGTGGAAGATCGTGGTTGAAGGGACTATCTGAGGGAGCTGAGTTTCCTCTTAGGTTACTGATTTTGTCTTGGAAAAATCTTAGAAAGTCATTGCAGTCCTTATCTGAAATGACAGGTGTACACAGAGTTTGGGAGAGACTATGTTACTTACTGTACTGTGAACCTTAGGATTTCTTTTTCCTACTGCAAGTCGTTTAGTGAAATAAGTGGCTCTCGCATCTTTCACCATGTAGTTGAAGGTAGATAATAGTTCTTTTAGGTGGAGCTTATGAACCTCAAGTTTTGTGGCTTTCCACAGGCGCTCAGTTTTACGGCAAATTCGCCTAAAGCCGCAAATAGCTTCTGTGAACCAGGGCAGGGATTTGGTAGTGCTGCTTTTCCTGATTTTAAGAGGAGCAACTTTATCTAGAATAATTTGACATTGCGAATTAAAGAGTCAGTAATTAATCGTGAATGCTTCACATGAACAGAGGGCAGTGTGTCAGAAATAAAGGAGAGATCAAATAAAAGATATTTATGATCACTAATAAAAATGTCCTCACGACAAACTGGACCGATATCCAGACCCAGTGATAGAATCAAATCTAAGGTGTGGCCACCGCTGTGTGTTGGCCCAGTTACGTGTTGGGTAAAGTTAAAGGAGTCTAAAGGACTAAGAAATTCAGAAGCAGTGTGGCATGATTTGTCATCAACATGGACATTAATATCCCCCAGCAGAAAGATTTTATTCAGCTTGATGGTGGAGGATAGAAAGTCAACTAAGAAACTCCTCGCTAGTGCCAGTGGTCTATAGATTCAGATCACATGGAAGGGATTATTCCTGTTTATCTTCATCATCTGAATCTCAGCAGAATTAAAAGAAGAGGTCTTCACCAGATGACAGAAAAAGGAGTTTCTAGCAATAACAACCAGCCCACCTCCACATCCTGAAATCAATGGTGTGGTCAGACAAATACAGACAAATCTGCAGGGCCCAGTTCATTGAAATGAGGAAATTCCATATTTCGCTGCCAAGTTTCCGATAGGAATAAAAAATCCAGGTTATTCCTAATAAAAGGATCATTGAGGACAAATGCCTTGTTTGAGATTGAACGACAGTTTAATAGGGTCATCTTAATCAGCGAGGCTGAAACATCTGTGGTTAGATCCTGAGAGGCTTGGCGCAGGTTTGCCCTGCACGATCCCCGGGACTTCTTACCTTTTATCGTAAGCCGCGGTACAGTAAGACGGTCCTTATGAAACTCGTGCGGAGAAGCCGTGCATTCAGCTGGAAGTCTGTTTTAGCTAAAACATCCAATGTTGGGAGCCTCGAGCAGGATGCTAAATCAGCGGTATTCCTATATTTCCATAATCTCACTTGGATGCCCGCTCTCCTTCCTCGCTTCCTCCGGCGACTTTTTGTCGAGGAATGGCAGCTCCGGTTTCTGCCTGACACAAGCAAGCATGGGAGGTTATGGGCATCAGCTTATCGCCCAAGTGGTGGAGGGAAGCCTCCAAAGTGTTTCTCATTTTTACCCGTCAACTCCATTGCTGATTTGATCCGAAATAAGGTATTTCGATCATAAACGTAGGTAGCTGTAATCTCATCCACAAACAGCAGCAGAATAGGTAATACAACACAAAACAAGAATAGAGACCCAGACAGCGGTATTGCCGATCTGAAGGTGACTGGCTTGGCTCTGAAGTATATTCAGTCTGTTACGTAAGGCCCAAAATGGCCTCCGTACAAGAAAGTAGTAGCTCTAATATTGACCAGTAACGAACCACCACACGCACACTGTAATGGGTTACACAAGATCCGGGTAAAACTACTGGCTGAAGACACAACTCTGGCCAGGAATACAAGGCCCAAAGCCACCACGGTCAGGGTTATTAGCCTGGTTACAAACAGGGGAAAGGTGGTCACTTGGAAGAACAAGCTGCCAAAACGTATCAAAACTGCATCTTCCTCAAAAAGGCATGCCATCCACCTTTTCAGGCCTGACTTCATTCGAGGCTGGGTCTCCACATCACATCCTGGGAGCTGGAACTTCCCCAAAACTGGTCCAGTTTCCTTGTCAGAGGCACAGAGAGTCTCCAGTCCAGTGTTTGTTTTCCTGCCTCCCAGCACATCCACTCACATCCCAATAAGAATGAGTCCTCCCTCCAACATCCTCAGATTATTTTAAAAGCAAAACCAGGCCAGGTTAAAAATCTTTTCCGTTAAAATGTGCACACTTCATCCTGGATCTTCGAGGCTTCCCTGCTACACCAGTGTCCTACTAAAAAAAACACAATGACAACACCTACTTCCTGTTTCCTCTCCCCTTTATAGAAAAGGGCTCTAATCCTCCCCAATCAGTATTCAACTCCAAATAGCTGGCAGCTGGACTAGAGTAGAATCTCCACTCCCACATGGGTGTGGCCCACACCTCACATCAAACACAAAGAAACACCAAAGCATGCAATTAATACAAAACAAAATCTAAAGTAATGCCAACCCAAAAGCTTAGTGGGGGATTCTCTCCATCCTATTCCACCATGCTATACTCTGTAACAAGTCTTTTTAGTGTATTTTATAGCTTTTCCAGAAAGAAAGAAAGAAATTTGTCGCCACGACTCTTTGACCTTACATTTTTAAAAGTAAATATGTAAAATTACAGAAAACCATAATTTGACCGCTTTGGTGTAGCATGAATAGCCATGGGGGAGGTTTTATCAGTAGGAAAAGCTGTAAAACCTATGAACATACAATTAAAAATCCAAAATTTCTGTTCTCTTTCACATTTTAAGAAGCCATACAATTAGCCAGATTGTAACCTTTGCTGGTCCAATTCTGGTCCCCAGGCCTTTTGTTTGATATAGTGGTTAAAATTGGTATTACATGAGAATACAGCTCAGCCCTAGTTGGACTTCAGCTCATATCACTTGAACACAATACACAGATGTTTTGGGAAGAAAGTCACAGCTGTTGTGTCTAACAGCTTTTATTAGTTTTGAATGATTTCAAATATGCGCGTGAACATTGTAGTATAAATAATTAATCTTTAAATAATTATGGTATGGCGCTAAAAGCCTACAAGAGCCTTCAGCTCCATATTTGCTGAAATGATAGTAGTAATAATGTCTTGTGTCTCCCTCTGTCATTAGGGTATCCCAGGAACTGTGGGAATGCGTGGGCCAACAGGTTTCACAGGACCGAGGGTAAGATCATCCTCCTGACATCTATCTCACCTTGTCCTTTTTCATATAGGAACTGGACGAAAGATGCTGTTGTACGTACATGAGTCGGTAAATTGTGTTAAAAGTGAGGGACTCAGCTATGAAAAGGGCAAGCGAAAGATTTTTGACTAGAATATTTTTGACATTTAGGTGAGTACAGAAATGTTCTGTTAAAGCTGTTAAAATCTTTTGATTGGAAGTAACTTTACAGCTTCAATTATCAGAAACAATCACAATAAAATAATTTTTCTTTTTTCTGCACCAGGGGGAGCCAGGTTTACGAGGATTACCCGGTCCTGTTGGGAAGCCTGGACCTCCAGTAAGTGTCTGCAGTTTATTTTTGCTTTTTTATTTCCTAACCTTTAACCCCTGGGAGCTATTTGGGGTATATGAGGGGTAGACTGAGTATTGTAAAGCAGATTAGATTAAAGCAGAAGAGATGGTGGGGTCACACCAAGAAGGGGCTGGTAAATAAAATAGACCGATGAAATGTGCAGCTGGTCTACAGGGACTGCCAGTATATGGAGGCAAACAAGTCAGAGTGATTGATTTTACTGAGAGCTCTGGAGGAAAATCTAATGGCGAAGTAAGTGATGTGGCAGGCTCAGCTGAAAGAGGACAAATAAATTGTTCCAATCACTGTCTTCGCGTCTGGCCACAACTGTACACATCAAATGCCAGCTTAATTCTTCAGATAGGTACTCCACTGATCTTCCCTGTTTATTGTTTTTTTCTGTAATGGTACAAAATAATTACCTCAACTTGACTCATATGGGTTTTTTTTCAGTTTTGGTTAAGTTGTGGGAGAAAAAACAAAATCTGTGCTGTTCTTGCCAAAGTTTGTTTACCCTATAAATCACTGTCGGTCTTTTTGTTGGTTAGATTTAGGAATAAGAAGGTCCCTTGTGCATGGAAAGAGTTAGTTTTAAGTAGTGAAAGTGAGACTGTTTTTTGAAGCTGCCAGCACTCTATGCAGTGTCATTGGAGCCACTTTTTACTTACACAGATGGCTGCCCAACACTGCAGTGAAATCAATCAATGTGTCATAGAAATAAGGCAGTTTGAGCTCAGTTTGAACGCTAAATAATGTCTTAAACTCGTCATTGTTCCACATCACTGAAGGCATTTAAAGCTGCACTCATCATGGTAGAGAAAAACCCAGGTTAGGGTTCCAAAGATTATCAGGCATACAAATAGTGTTTTATTCTCAGTGAGAATAACAAAATACAAGTAAACAAACCAAGGGGATGTGTCAGACAGAAGATAGTGTTTTTAGATAAGTTAAAAAAAGTTAACTTAAATTTTTAAACATGTGCTTTTAGGTCAATTACAGGTCATAAAATCATTAAAGATACTTAAAGAACTTAATATCCTTTAAGTGTGTTTAGTTTGTATTGGTGTTACACTAGCTTAGCTATGGTTAAAGATTCAGGACAGGTTGAAACTGAGTAACCTAAAACACATCTTTACAGCCAGAGATCACTAAAATTACAGTTTAAAAAAAAATCTTCATCTGCAGATAACAATTCATCTTTACAAATCAAGTAATAGAACTAGTACAATGTCAGTAAATCATAAGATTTTACAGCTTGTGTGAACTTTCTACAATTTTGGAGGAGTGCCCACATAAAAATGAATAAATAAATAAGATAAAATAACAATAATTAAATATAAATACATAAATAAGATCACACTGTTGATCACCTAAGACATCAGCAATATCCAGTTTTGTAGGTTTAACATATTTTACCCACTTATCCCATAGCTGATCAACCACAGAAAGCAACCAATGTGATGTGAGTGTTTTTTAAACATGCAGATATAAGGAGCATGATCTAACTCTGTTTCATTTTTTTAGGGTTTGCAAGGTCCTCCTGGAGAGAAGGGACCCCGGGGACCACAGGTGAGACAAATCCTCACAAGGTGGTTTATCTTATAATTCGGTTGTAAGTGTTAAGTTTCTGGTGTCTCTGTGAAATATCACTTTGAGAAACCATAACATTAAACATCATAATTTATAATAATAATAAACTGAAAATAAAAAAAGGACACAAGATGAATAAGTATTTCTGCAAATGCAATTAAACCCTGATTTAAAAATCAGCCCAACAGTCAGAAATATTCTTCTTTTGTTTTCTTGCATTTGATGATGATAATTATGATGATGGTAAATGGCCTGTATTTGTATAGCGCTTTACTTAGTCCCTAAGGATCCCAAAGCGCTTTACACTACAATCAGTCATCCACCCATTCATTCACACACTGGTGATGGCAAGCTACATTGTAGCCACAGCTGATCTGGGGCGCACTGACAGAGGCGAGGCTGCTGGACACTGGCGCCACCGGGCCCTCTGACCACCACCAGTAGGCAAACATGACGTCTTTTAACTTCATAAGGCAAATGCCTATTAACTTTTCATTAGTGATTATGATTATGACTACAGCTAGTTTGGTAGTTTGTCTTTGCCAGCATAAAATGGATTTGCTCAAATTGGACTGACCAATAGTCAGAGTTATAGGAAAGTCCAAGGAAGATTAAGATCTAAGTAGGAGAATTATAGATTTACACAAGTTAGGATGCTGCCTTGGAACCATTTTTAAACAGCTGCAGATTCCAAGCTCATTCATTCAAACAATTGTACACAGGTACAAGACATTTGGATTTGTCGCCATTTTGCTAAGGTCCAGAAGAAAAACCATATATCACCCTCAGATATAAAGAAAATTGTTTATGATTTTCAAGAAAACCCAGGAACAACCAACTGGAAAGTGCTGAAACACCAGCATCACTGTACACAGCCAGAGTTTTATTTTACTGAGATGGTGCTGACCAAGAAACAAGCCGCTGCTCCAAAATGAACTCATTCATGCTCAGCTTAAATTGAGCAGCTGCCACCATGGAAAATCCATTTGCCTTCTGGAGAAAAGTTTCATGGTCAGAGAAACAAAGATTGAGCTATTAGGCTCAATGACAAGAGGGAAGGTGAGGGTTTCAAAGCTAAGTGCTTTGTATCAACTGTCAAGTATGGTGATATCATGCTGAAACTTGGACGCAGTTGGCTGTTCCAACAGAAGAATGATCCAAAATTCATATCAAAACTCAGTTTGGAAAGCAGAATAACATTAAGTTTCTGGAATAGCTTTTCCAACGCCCCAACCTCAACCCTATTGAAAATTTATGAACAATGCTAAAAGAGGCATCCATGTCAGGAGACCAACCAATTTAAATGAACTCTACCAATTCTGCCAAGAAGAGTTGTCAAATATCCAGCCAGAGTTATCAAATATCCAGCCAGAGTTATACCAGAAACTGTTTTTTTGTTTGTTTGTTTTTTCCTTTTTTACCAGAAACTTGTTGATGGCTATCCAAAGGTTGAGGTACAAGTTACTAAGGAACATTTTACCAAGTACTGGAGGTGTACATGCTTTTGTTGTACAATGTGTTCACCTTGTTGGTGAACTATCGCCAGTCACTTTAACCATCGTCAATCCCTGACACCATCATCCATTGGCTCAACCCCTGCTGAGCAGAAGGACAACTTTGTCAGAGAAATAAAATGTTAAAAAATACCAAACGGCATCACAGGCTTACAGGCAATTTAGTTTAGTTTAGGAACAGCATTGTGATTCATCAAACAATATGTTGTATGCCTAAATTAGAATAAACTGAAAGCTAAAAAGAAGAAAAACATTCCAAAGAGCCTCACAGAATTGCAGTAAATATTTAAAGGCAATTCAGCATGAGCACTAGCATCATTAATCATTAAAATAGCCTGCTGCTAAATTGGGATGATCAGTGTGATAAGCTGAACAAAGCATGCCCAACAAGATTCGATTTACAGATATTTTGCTAATAGCATATTTACCAGAGCAAACGAAAAAACTGTCAGAGAGATAAAGTGAGGAAATATATTAAATAAGGTCGCAAACTGACAGTTTTAAAGGCAATTTAACATTATGCTAAAATTCTTTTCAGAGCCATCACAGCATGACTTTCAATTCTGTGTTTCAACAAGTTGAACTGTTGTTGTTTCTAACAGGGTCGTCTAGGAGATGACGGCCTCAAAGGGATACAGGGTCCACAAGTAAGTTTGAGCTAAATAAAGAAGATTGCACTCTGCATTTTCATTTGGGCAGATTGTGTTTGCCCAATCTCACTCACTGCTTTTTCCTTTATTTAACGTGGCATGTTTAGATTAGGTGTTGAAGAATATGTAGTTCTGCATGCTGTTGAAGGTCTGCCTAGAAAACAAAACCAGTCTGCAGTACTTACTATTCAATTCTATGTTTTTGCTGATTGTCCCGTCAGACTTGTTGATGAAGCTATTTTTGGTCAGGCTTACTGTGACTCCCACAATAAGACAAAATAAAACTAATCATTTAAAGATCATCTAAAGCTCCACTGAATGAGATGCAGCTGTTGTAAGCTGTTACTGCAGGGAGGGAGCTGTCTTTCCATAAAACTGAGGATGCTGTATTTACATCACATAAATGGGTTTTAATTGATTCATTGTTGCTGATTTCCCTGCAACCCGTTCTTGTATTATATTACTCACAATCCATGAAACAATCATCACAAAATGAGTACGTTACCAGACATTTCATCATCGACGTGCTCCAGCGGTGCATAAAAACAGAAGAAGTGTTCATTTGCAATCGTTTGCATTTGTTAGACATGTATATAGGCAAACGGGCAAATATATTGGTTTAAAATTTCTTTAAATTAAAAGTGATTGTATGTTATTGATGAATTGTACACATTAAAGAGAAAAAATGTGTTGTGATTAAATCACAGGATGTGCTTCAGGAAGTGTTTACTCCAAATTAATGAAAAAATAATCAGTGAGCAAAATAGTGATTGTTTTTATATTAGACTTTAAAAAAATAACCTAATTGAAAAAGTTTCAATTTGTATTCTTCTTTCTGTCATTTTTAAGGGTCCTCCAGGTCTACCAGGTCCTGATGGGGCAATTGGAAAACCAGGACCAACGGGAAGCAAAGGGCCTCCAGGACCTCAGGGACCACAGGGGCAGGCAGGAATCCCAGTGAGTGGGTACCTACCATCGACTGCTGTTACCTCATGTTGCATGGAGAGATAAATGTCCATGTTATTTGTTTTTCAATACATGTAAAATCTACTGAATCATCACAAGAGTGCATAAAAGCTGACGTGCATGTCTGTTGGATCTGATCAGGGTCCGCAGGGTGCTGATGGATTATCAGGGGAACCGGGGGAAAGAGGACCTAAGGTAAATTACAGTAAACTTCAACAATTATGTAATGTAAATGTTTTATAATGACAATCTCTTATTTCTGCCTTCATTAATGTTCAAACACTGAAACTTCCAGGGTTTACCTGGATCACCTGGAGAAGCAGGCCCCATGGGACGACAAGGACAGCAGGTTGGTGGATTTTGTTGTGAAGCAATTAAAACTTCTTAGATCTGATTTCTTCACTTACCTCTCCTAACTGCTGGGCCTCTGAAGCCAGCTGATCAATACTTAAGGCACTTTTATCTAATCTTATGAGCTTTTTCCTTATTCTGTATATTAGATTTAAAGAAAGTGTGTAGGAATTATTGACACCTGGTAGTAAGATTTGAGCTCAATTTTCTTTGCCTGTGACTGTGTTGAGTCACCATAATATCCATTGATGAGATAACTTGAGACAGATATTGATGAATTCTGTTTTGTTAAAAAGAAAATGTATTTTTGATTAGCAGAGAGATTTTTAGTCCAGAAAAGGTTACAATGTTTTGTGCGGTCACCAGCAACGATTTTGTTTTTGCTTTGTGCTTGTAATAAGTACAGTAAAATTAGCCTTCTCAAATTTCTCAACTTTAAGCTGCCGTTGTTTTGTTGGTCCATTTTGTTGGAATAACTTGGCAGTGCACCATGACAAGCTCCATGAAAGAGAGCTAGCTTTTATATTATATATTATTATATAAAATGTACACTGATTAATTAAACACTAAGTCACATTCATGGTTCATGCTTGAGTAGCCATAATGACAGAGCCTACAATACAACCCTTATTGTAATTGTTCCATACTTTGAACATAAACTATGGTGTGATTAAGGCCCTGTTTAATGCTCATAAAGAAAATATTATTTTTAATTGGCTTTTTTAATTGCTCCCTTTTTTTTTGCCACCAATTAGTTTTTTCTATTAGAATTTAAAGTTTTGCTGTTCTATAAAGCAGTTTTCACATTTTTCATCAGGGTCCTCCTGGCCACACAGGAATCGAGGGCCCACTTGGAAGGAAAGGAGACCAGGTCAGTGGTAACAGGATCAAAGTTGTGTACCCGAAATTATAAACCTTGGACTCCATTATTGAGGAAACACTTGAAATAAAATGTCTTTATTCTCATAACAATGTCAGAGTCAGACTTGAAAAACACTTCTGTCCAATCAGAATTGTAAGTTACAGTGGTCCCTCGCTTTAATGTGGTTCACGTTTCGCAGCCTCGCTGTGTGTGTGTGTGCAGTTTTCAATGTTTTTTTTTTCTTTACAGCGCATTGTGTTCTGCGTCCTGATTGGCTGTAGACCATTGTCAATCAATTTCGTGCCTTGTCTCCTGTACAGTACAGAATCCGTTCAGCTTGTCAAATTTACATAAATCTTCGATTGGTAGCAGTGTGACTCTGAAGTGCTGCACTGTATGTTTGTTTGCTCCCCGACAAACACAAAAATGTCGATGAAACGCCATCACCTGCGGGTGCCTGTTTTTCATTCTATAATACTGCACTTATTTTTCTATGAAGGTTTGAACTTTGAGAGTGTTTAAGCAAGAGAGAAAAGTGTGAAAATGTTCATGTCTGTCTGAGAAAAGTGTCTAAAGTGTGTAGTGAGGAGTTTTACAGCCTTAAAACATCTGTAATAATTGTAAAAAATTAAGTTGGCTACTTCGCAGATTTCACCTATTGCGTGTTATTTTTGGAACGTAACTCCCACCATAAACGAGGGACCACTGTGCCTTGTATTAATCAGTGGCACAGATGAACATTTTCTTTAATTCTTTTATTGCAACAGAAATTAAATTCACAATAAATGTGACACCTCTGTAGCTGCAGCAATACTCAGCGCCTGTTCATTAAATGCTCCATGCTGAGCAACTTTAAGAAAATGGAACAGTCTGCTCTGGGTACAGGAACCTTAAATGTGGAAGTCATTAAACTACTTTTTCTTTTGGACCTCATGAAGCCAAGGAGACTTTGTTTAGTGATTTAGAACAGTCTGCAAGCGTTTGATAACTAACAACTTTTTAGCCTCCAAAAGCCTGATATCTGACTTTCCTACACTTTCCTGTTTGACAGGGGGATTTAGGACCTTGTGGGAAACCTGGTTCTAAAGGGCCACCAGGAGAGAGGGGACCTCAGGGGGGAAAAGGCCTACAAGGACCATCTGGACCAGTCGGTAAAGAGGTAAGTACAATTATCTTTTGTTTACTTAAATTATTTCAGGTGTTGAAACACATGTCCAGCTGCTGTCTCTTAAATAACAGAGTTGTTGTACCGGTGGTGATTCTTTTTTTCCAGAACCCCATTTCCTTTATTGAATCCTACAAGCATCCTGTCCAGAGTGTATTGTTGTGCAACAGATGTGCTTTTAATTATTGGTAGAATTAAATTACTCTCAGCTGAAAATCTGAAGGTATTTGAGGTCCTTTGTTTTGTTTTGTTTTTTAAAAAGTATAAAATTGGTTTGAAAAGCATTAAACCCCCATTTGTGGTACATAAAATGTGGAATTCCATTTTCCTGATACTGTGGTAATGACAGTACCTATTTCACATTTTTAAGGTTTTGAAGTCTTGATTTTATGAAAGAGCAGAGAGAGACCGTGTGGCTTGTAGTTTTTGTAATCATGTCAACAATGACATCTTTTTAAATCTACATTAACCCTGAAAGCACCACAAACAAAACAGGATGTGGCAAGATAAGTATCTTTTAATAATCTTTTTGTTGTCTGCAATACAACAGCGTTATTGTTTTTTAAAAAGTGAAGCCTGATATCTAGTTCAGCCAGCTCGAACTGTTTCCCACTCAAACCTCACTCTCCTTCCAGTTCGATGGTCTATTTAAGCAGAGAAAAATCTCCTATCCTCATGTTTTAACCCTTCCACCAACCCGGCTGTTGGGCTCGGGGGATATTTCCCTATACCTCCTCATGTCCTCATAACTATTTGCGAGAAGTCGTGCTTGAAAGCTGTAGGCCAAACTAACCGTATAATCTTCTCAAACATGAGTTTTCTGACAGATCTGATTCTTTATTACATGTAAAACATTGCCTTATGAAGAAGGAAAATATGTTGGTTTTACCTCACTGTAGGCTTCCTTGATGACTGAACCATTAAGTAACTTCTGTTCCCTCATCTTCTTCAGGGGGATGTTGGACTTCCCGGTGAAGTTGGAGATCCGGGGCCCAAGGGGGAGAAGGTAAGCTTCAGTTTAGTTAAAAATACAATATATTGAACAAGCAGGCGAGTTCTCTCTGGGTGATGTTTGCACTACCGGTCATGTTGTTGTTAATGTGTGCAGGGTGAGCTGGGACCTCTTGGTTTGTCTGGTCGAGAGGGTCCCTGGGGACCCCTTGGACAAAATGGTGACAGAGGCCCAAAGGGGGAGAAGGGCCACTTGGGACTGATGGTGAGAATATATGTACTCAACAGTTCGGTGGAAGTTGGATGTTACATTTTAGTAACACTACCCACATTTCCTTCAAGCTTGTTCAATTTCAAAACACCAACAGTGAGATTTATTAGAGCAATTTTTAAGAGCACTGAAATGCAAAAGGGTGACACAAAGGATAGATTATCTAAGATCTATCACTGTAAATTAAACAAAGAACTTCATTCAGATTTATTAAAATCATTGGAAACTGATGTCTTCCTCTTGAACAGGGTGAACCAGGACTGATGGGTGAACTAGGCCCTGTGGGCCTGCCTGGGTTACTGGTGAGTTGAATACCAGAATGTAGAGTATTGATGCTTTTGATATGCTGCTTAGAGTGCTTTTTGAATTAACCTGTATTGAATAGTTTATAGCTGTGACTGATATTTAATGACACACAGTTGGCTTTTTCCCTCACAACTCTGCAGATTGCAAACTGATGTTAATGTGCAGCTTTATTGTGCTGTGATTCTTTTCTCATTTCAGGGAATGATAGGTCCTCCAGGACGTCCAGGTCCCGATGGACCTCAGGGAGAGAAGGTAACAAAACGGTTTCTCATAAGAGTCACAGTGCTGTTAAGATTTATATAGTACATAATTCCAAATAAGAATTTTAAGCGTGCCCTCTAAGAATGTTTTTTCACGACGTTTCAGCAAACTTTTGAAGTGCTTTTCATTATGCACAATGAAGTCAAGCCTAAAAGGAGGCTCAGACTCAGAAAGACACTTCAATTGGTTTATTTTTACTGTGATGCGGGGTTAATGGACGAGTCGTAATAAAGAAGATGGTCTGCACTGGCAGGCAGGAGTTAGGCAATAGCTGTAGGCAGACTCGTTTCATCAGTCAGGGATAATCTGAGGCTCAAACCCAATAGTCTAGCAGCTTGATGAACGCCGTTATCACTTTGGTAGGGAAAGCCAGCTTAGATGCACAGCTGCTCAGTAGAGTTACTGAAGGGCAGGTGTGAATGATCAGTAGTCTGCTGGAGGGAATGAGGCCTCGTACCTGGACACACAAACATGGAAAGAGACTAAAGACAACAAGGGGAAAGAGACCTGGCACTAGAGGAACATATATACATGCTGCATCAATGAGTCAGTCACAATTTACACAATATGTTCTTTCTGAATTTACAGCTCATGTTATTTTCAGCCCAAACAGGGCAGGGTAGGTTTACTCACAATATGCTATCTATACACTGCCTCAGTACATTTCACCCCAAAATTCAGTTTATTTGAGTAATGTTGAGTTTTGGAATGGTTAAGCGTACCGTGCCAAGGGGTGGGCTTGTGCGCTGTTCATGTGGACACTCCCACAGCACACATCTAGTGCCTGAGTACAGACGTTGAAGATTTTTTTCAACATCAGCTGCCTCTGAGCAGCACAACTGAAAATTGCTGTTAAATAATAAATACATCTATAGGGCCACCTTAAAGTCAGTAGAATCCTCAGCTTTAATGTGCTTTGGCTCTTCCTTTTTTTTTTTTAGTCATAGTTTAATGAATGAATGATAATTTCTGCTTCGTACATGGTTGGCTGAGAGGACCTTTTCCTTACAAGGAAAAAACTGACCTGTTTTTTTTAATCAACATATTCTTTATTTACAGTACAGAGGCCTTTACTATGAGGATTTTAGCTGATGAGCATCAGTAATAAATATAGATTCTTAAATGCAACTTTAGTCCTTATTTTTTTTCCTACATCTCTTTTATAAGTCTCCTTCATCAGGCTGCAGACACCATTTAACCTTTTATAGGGCACTATAATATTTAGTTCCTTCTATGACCACCCTACGAAGGATTTATGTTTAAATCAATCCAGTTTAATCCAAATAAATGATTTGCTGCAAAATTCATCTAGTCTTTTTTTTTTTTTTTTTTTTTTTACAACCGTTGGCTTTTACTGCTATAAGAATTGTTGTCTAAAGGACTGGTGGTGGTCAGAGGGCCCGGTGGCGCCAGTGTCCGGCACATACTGACTGAATGTAGTGCAAAGCGCTTTGGGGTCCTTAGGGACTAAGTAAAGCACTATACAAATGCAGGCCATTTACCATTCTTTATAGATTTTTAATAATCACCATTTGATGAGTAGGTGACACTCATAGGGATCATTTTCTATGGAAGAACAGTCACATGATCTCTGAAAGTCCTGTTTAGATTGGCCGTATGCTGCCAACACCACCCCTTTCATGTGAACTGGGGAAACCCCGAGTTAAATTAGCACATTGATAACCAGCTAAATGTGATCCTGTATCCTGATCAGTGAAGTGAATCCAGATAACAGAAAGCTACCCTGGGTATGCTGAACGTATTTCTGGTATAGGGCCCAGAACCTGCAGAGCTCTGTTTAAAGAAATACTTAAGCAGTGATTTGAAAAGGTCTTCATCCATGTCTCTCTAGGGCGAGCATGGGCCCGTAGGAATTACTGGACCGCCGGGTTCAGCAGGCCCTCAGGTAAACTTTTTATTCCTTTTAATATTTTTTTTAACTTAGTGTGTAGAACATATATATATATGTAAAATTAAATTTACTTTCTCTTTCTCATGTTTCTAGGGGATAATGGGGTCACGTGGTGTCAGAGGAGATCCTGGGAGGCTCGGACCACCTGTAAGTGCCTGCTAGTATCAGAAAGTTGTTTCAAAGTTTCAAACTAATATTTTAGCATTGTGCTACTTTCTGTTCTATCCCAGCAAACATCAGTCAGTTAAGTGTTTGAGTCAGAACTTTATTTTCAAGTAATTTAAAGAAAGGTCGAGCAGAATACTACAACAGTCAAAATTTTTATTACGATCTTTAAAATAAATAATCGCCAAAGTAATTTAATAAACGCCTTTGACCACTGAAGTACCTGCAGGTGTACAAGATGTACTGTGTACAAGAGGTGTACTCAGCACAGTTCTTTACTTTACCTGGCATCTAATTGTATACAGGATTGTACAGAAGCATTCTACTTCAAAATCGCATTCTCTTATGTTATCTTATGTTAAATGTAATCAGATTTGAAGGGCAAGGAAAAATCAAAGATGTTACTAATATGTCACAAGACTTGTATCACATTTGTGACTCCTGCAGGGTCCAGTACGACATGCAGGACCAAAGGGACACGAGGGAAGTAAAGGAGAGCCTGGGGAACTGGGACTCAAGGGAGAGCCAGGACCTCCAGGCCCACCAGGGGAGCCGGTTAGTTTGATTTAGGTCTTATATGTATACTCCACTGTATAACATTTATTAAAATATAATTGTGCGTTGCCATCTTAATAATAACATTAAATCTAAAAACTGCATCTGTCTATAATATATGACCTCTTAAAAACATCCTCATATTAATATTGATCACTTGTGCAGGGCGATGATGGTCTTCCAGGAATTCAGGGTCCTGAGGCTCTGCCGGGGTTAGAGGTGAAAACCAAACCACTATTTTGAATTGTAAAGACTGCACTTTTCCTGCTTAACAGCCCTGACTTTGTAACTTCTCTTTCTATCTTCTCTTTTCTTTAGGGGCCTCCTGGAGAGGTGGGACCCCAGGGCCTCCCAGGTCCTATAGGTGTTCCTGTGAGTGCAGTTTAAAGCATAAAGTCACTATAGATGATGAAAACATGCCAGCTTGTTTAAAATTACTGTTCCTGGTTACAGAGTGTACACACGATGTGTTTGTGTGCCTGAAAGAAAGCCGCTAATGAGAAAAAAAAATTGTCCTTGCAGGGAGTTCAAGGAAGACCGGGACCTGAAGGCAAACAGGGCATGAAGGGGGAGAAGGTACAATTATCATCTATCTTATCTATCTAATCTATCTCAGCTAGCAACAAGTGCACAAAACACTAAAGAGGCCCTACTAATGTGTTGCACAAAATGCAATATTCAGCTGCACCCACACGGGAAGCATTTTGCAGCAATATGGTGACCACAGAACACAGAAGATGAATGACATTTGATAACTTAAGCAACTATGGGCAAAAAAATGATGATTCCAGCAAGAGTCACATGACAGGGTAGTAACCTGGAATGCCTATAATCACCTTTCAGCTTTAAAGTAATGCGCAACAAGTTTCATGAGACATTTGCCTATTCTTATGATTCCTCATAAAAATGGACAAAATGCCTATATCTTCTTTACTGTCACCTTTGGGTGCCATATATTTGAGTGTATATACATTCTTGGCTTTTGTGTCTGTGAAGGTTCTCAGTCATCCAGGTCATCGTAGTCTAAGGAGCTTGGAAAGAAAAAAGCGTCTGGACTTCTTTAAGTTGCTTGAAGACGTTTCACCTCTCATCCGAGAAGCTTCTTCAGTTCTAAGGGTCAAATGGTGGAGAGTCCCAGATTTAAACCCAGTGGGAGTTTCCCCCCAAAGAGGGACAAAAGGACCCCCTGATGATCCTCTACCTAATCACATGAGCCAAGGTGTGAAAACAGGTGTGGGTCACAATCAGCCAGGGTTTCGGGTGAGCTCATTGTGAAACCTGGCCCCACCTTATCATGTGATTTACTGAGGTCAGATGGCCCAGGGTGTGAGTGGGCATTAAGGCATCTGGGAAGGGATCTCAAAACTGGATTATAGATGGCAGACAGTTGGTGTCGTAAGCCACCGCCTCTGCTCAAAGATGGTCGCTCACAGTGGACATAGATGGCTTCTTTCACTCCTCTTTCAAACCATCTGTCCTCTCTGTCCAAAATGTGAATTCTTGGCTTTTACTTTTCAAATAACTTTCCCACTTTGTGTTTTGCTCCACAGGGAGAAGAAGGCAAGACTGGTTCACCAGGGAAGAGGGGTCATGTTGGAAGGAGGGTAAGGTCAACGAAAGGTTTATGTAATGTAAGGATGTAGCGCCATAGTTTAGTCATTTACACGCTAACAAGCAAAATATTCCCCGTGTGACTGTGGGAGGAGGAACAAATTCTCTGGGAGTTATGTTGAGAAGAGTATCCACTGTATACAAAGTGACTGGAACTAGCTTTAAGGATGTAACAGTGAGTCCACAGTTGTGATGAAGCTAAGATGATCTCTATATTATCAATATTATTACTTTTCTTTTTTTATCATGGCGTATTCATCCTCAGGGAAAAAGGGGAAAGGCTGGAGTCAGAGGGCCCAGGGGAGAGAGAGGACCAAAGGTGGGAACACAACTATATGCTTTGTGTAACCCCTACAGTTGGTTTAAATATGAGATATGACCTAACAGTAGACTGTGCTTTATTGTTTAGGGTGAAAAGGGAGACACAGGACCGGTGGGGCTCCCTGGATGGTCAGGACTCATTGTAAGTGAATTTGTGCACCTACCCATCCATACATCATTGTTGAAATTGCTTCTTCATTGGTCTACCACATTCAGTGAGTTGGAGACAAATGGATGATTTTAACAAATAGAATGCGTTTATTTTTATGTGATGTGTTTTTGTGTTCTTTACCAAGGGAATCCCCGGCTTACGTGGAGAGTCAGGTGATCAAGGTCAAAGGGGTGAAAAGGTAAACAAGTAAAAAGATAACTAAGACCGACTACAGTACTGTTCAAAAGTCCTGGGTCATCCCTTAGTTCTTTATGTTTTGCTTCCAACTACTTATTCAGGCTTTCTAAAGGTCTTTCAAAGTGTCTTTCATCCTGTCTGTTAACATATGTTTCATATCTTCTTAGGGTGACAAAGGAGACATGGGACTGCCTGGACTACCTGGAGTTGATGGCATGAAGGTAGGAGCAGTTAACAGATTTAAACAGTCGTAAACAAAACAAACAGGATCATTTAAGTTGTAGTCTTTTGTGGGATGTAAATGACTGTTTAATATGTTTGGATATATCAAGATAATTTGGAAAATAACAAAAGGAAGACAAATGCCAAATGGGATTCACATAGTGGTTCATTCTGATCAAAGAACGCTCATCCAGGTGGTTCTGGTTTTTAATTACTGGGGCCATTAAAAACACTAGAAACATTACATCACTGCTGCTTTGGGATTTTCCTTTTTTTAGGGTATCCGTGGTCCTGTTGGATTGCCTGGTCCAGAGGGTCCAAAAGGGGAACAGGTACACAAAAAAAGACTGCAGCATTGTTAGCTCTCGGGTTTAAAGCCTTGAATTTTCCCATGTGTAACTGTGTTTAAATGATGTTAAAGATTGACAGATGTTTAGGTTTCACACTATACTGATGTTGTCTTAGGGAAACATTGGTCTGCCAGGGCCCAGGGGCATGTCAGGGATGCCTGGATTGCCTGTAAGTATTATCTCTCTCTAAATCTTTAATATACTTTTGAGTATGGCAAGCTTATGCAACATCTTTTATTCATGATACATTTTTCAGCCCTCTTTAACTGTTGTATTTTTCTTTTTCTGTTTGTCATTTTCCCCCCTCTGATATGCAAAGTTTAGTAAGGAAGATATATCTTGGACTTTTTCAATATTTTATGTTTTCAATTCAAGAATTTCACATGTTTTGCTCAGACACTTTTTGCCAGGGTATGTCTGAAAAATGAAGACAAATGTTATTGTTTTATAATAACCGCTGCAATTTCTGCATAAAGGCAGACTGCTGTCTGTTAGCCTACCCTGTTCTTCAGCTACCAGCCTGTGAAATCAATCATCATTCAGAAGCACTTTATAACTGTTCAACCCACTGTGTCTTAAGAAAAAAAAATGTCCATTGACTAAGATTATAAAATCAGCAAGGGTACAGGTGACAGGCTCTTAATGCAGCTGATAAAAGCAGTCGGAAGTCGATAAATGCACTTCATACTGAAAAATCACACTAATGTCCTTTTCTTCCCCTGTCCTCTGTTCTTGCAGGGTTTGTTTGGATTAAAGGTATGAAATCATCACCTCCAGCTCTCTTGTTCTTCTATATCAAACACTCTTCAGCTCTTACTCACCACTCTGTGAAGAAAATGGCCTGTTCCCCCTTTTTTAAGTGACTCACATAATCATAAAGATGTCACACTTGGAAGTTGGCAGTCTAATGTGATCATGCAGCAGTCTTTATTTCCTTATCGGTGTATGTGATAATTAACAGTTTGATATTGCCATGTGGAAGAGTACAGAATTGTATTGTTATATTGTTGCTATTATATATAATTCTCCCTGCAGGGATTGAAAGGCTACCAAGGTCTGCCTGGTCCACCTGGCAGGAAGGGGCTGCCGGTAAGTCTACAACAGATGGGTAAAAAACACTAGGTTATCATGTTTGCTCTAACAATGCAAACAGTTTTCTGTCTGTTGCAATACCTGGGTGCAGGGCGTTCCCATCTTTCCTACTTCATCTGATCTGGGTGGAGTAGAAACTGTGTTTGCCCCAAATTTGCTCTCATAGGTTAGCAAAGCTTGTTTGGAAAGCTTGAAACAAAACCCAAACAAGGGTGTACAGTTTAATTCTAATTACCCTGAATTACATTATACTAAGATATTATAACAGAATTATTCCCAGTTATGTCAAATGATTGATATAATACTTTTTATCTATTTTGGCTAGTTTATAATAGTTTAGGTTTAGTCATTTGAAGATTAATCTTGTGTTTTAGGGTCCACCTGGCATTCCCGGACTTCCCGGAAAGTCACTGAACATGACCTTGTCTCAGCTCAAGGCAAGTAGTTTCTAAACTGTATTGCCAATTATATGTTGGAATTGTTGTTTTCTGTTACGAAATATTCGATTAAAATTGCACATTAAAAAACATTTCTTTCCAACAACTGGAAACAGTATGTGTTTAAAAAAGAAAGACAGAAATTAAAGATATAGAGATATAAAGAAATAAGAATTTTTTAAAAACCCCTTCATATCAAAATCATTATTTTTCATTAAATTTACATGGGCTCTAAACATTAAACTTGGCCGAATCATATTCTCCTCATTGCCTTCCCATATCCAGGACCTCATGTACATGTCAGATAAGCCCAACTACCTTCTGATCCAGACGTTGCTGGATACTCTTCAGGAGGAGCTTCGGCTGCTTTTGGATCCTCCTGATGGCAGCAAAGAGCATCCAGCTACTACCTGTCTGGAGCTCTGGCTCTGTCACCCTGAATACAGCAGTGGTCAGTTACTGAAACTTTAAAGTAAACACTAAAGCAACACTGAACGATTGTGAACGATCCCCAAGCTAGATGGAGTAAAAAAAAAGGGTTAAATGAGTGTGTCCTGCTCCATTACAGCTTTGTGCTATAATAGAATAGATTTACAGAATAGAATACATTTCAGAGGAGAAATGAAAAAAGATTAGTTTATTTTTCTCTTATTTGGTTTTGAGTAAAAGCTAAAGTGAGGCTTTGTAGATGATTGACCTGTATATTCTCTGTGTAGTGTGGTTCAGCGTGTGGTTTAGGCCATCTAAACCAGAACTTCACCTTACAACAAAGCGTCCATCTGTTTCAGTACTTCTAAAATAATTTGAGTCATATAATCAACAAGCAGAATCTATTAGGTTCACCTCCACCTCTTTCCCAAGGTCAGCTCTGATAGGCTCCCTGTGCTCATAGTTGGATAAGCTGCTTAAGATTATGGATTAAACCTATTTATACTATTTATACATACATATTGTTATTAGAGCAAAACCAGTTGAAGTGCTTTGGTTTTTAACATTACCCCTGTACTTCACCTACCTCCGAAGCATGGAGGGTAAGTAGCCTTGTGAAATTTTTGCATTTATTTAGGCTCATTTAACACAGATGGTAGATTTAAATTCTTGTCTTGCTGTTTATGCTTTACTGCCACTTTGCTAAGAGTCCCTAAGTGCTGATATCAAGTCTCAAAATCAGTTTGTTTCAAATAACATCACCCAGTAAAATGCATGAATTCTTTTCCCAGCAGCATTGTGTATATAGAAAAATGCTTTGTTTTAAAATAAATGTTATTTTCCATTTATGACTTTTTTCCCTTTGAAGAGATTATTAACTTTATTTTATCTATTTTATCAGCATATAATATATTGACAAATACATACATACTGTACTGTATATGTTGGTACATATATTAAGGTATATTTGTATATAAATGATAATGAATATGGGTAATTCTATTTGACTATCAAAGATCCAAATTTGCAGATCGTCAGCAATCCTGTTGCTTGTTGCCACGGGGATATTAATAGTTCACAGAAGACATATTTTTACACTCCAGCCTCTTTAATGCTTTCCTTTTACAGGCCAGCATGTTGAAGTTCTTGTGCTCCCTGTATTTCACTGCTTTTACTGTCAGCATGGAGCATACTGTAATACTTTGATCCCTGGGTCTCTCATTCATTTCCTGCTAACCTTTCTGTACAGGAATGTATTACATTGACCCCAACCAGGGCAGTCCTGCCGATGCCCTGCTGGCTTACTGCAGCTTCTCTTCCACATCAAAACAGACCTGCCTTCATCCTCAAGACTCTCAGGTATAAAGACATCAGCAAAGAAAGTCTGCAGGAAATTGTACCTCTGAATCAAGGACATGGCCACTATCATTTAATGTATTTGTATTGTAGGTGAATCGTCATTCACCTCATGCTTCTGCAGTAGTGACTTTAACTTGAATCTGTATCTTTGTCTCTAAACAGGAAATTTCTTTTGCACTTTTACACTTTTTCTCCTTTTTTCAACTTAAGTGTGAACAGTTATGAAGCTATGAATGGGAATAACGTAGTAATAAGCACTTAAAAATGTTTGATTTGCTAATTTCAATGCTGAGATCTTCTGTACCCTAGAAATGATCAGATTTGACAATTCCAAAATTTCTTGTCTCTTATATAAAACTAAATTCAATGAGCTACATCAAATATATTAGATAAAATGTATTTAACTGAATTTGCATGTCACCCCTCATTTATCAAATGTTTCAAATTCAATCTGTTTGCATCAGTCAGAGGTATGCATGAAGAAAACTAAGTTGTCTGGTTGCAGGAAGGAATGAAGCAATGCATGGCTAAATTACTTTATATTCATCTGAAGGGTATCAGGTCATGTAAAGGACAGAAACTATTATTATTCTCATTGTATTGTGTTTTCCTGGTTTCATGGTTGGTTCAGTCTGTTTAAAACCACAAAACACACTCACCTTTCACCCTATCTACTCTAATATAGTCCAGCCTACATAAATAATTGACTCACTCAACCAAAGAGAAATGTGAATTGGTTTCGGTTAGCATGAGTCGAATACTGCTTTAGTCATGTCTGAGCAGCATGGTAATTCAGGATTTCATTAGCAACAGTCTGAAAACGAAATTGTGCCTTCTTTTCATCTGCCTACAGCTGCCAACGAAAGCGTGGATGGAGGACTTTTCCGAGGAAGGATCTTTTCAGTGGCTCAGCAAGCTGAATCAGGGATTTCAGGTGAGTGAATACCTCTGGGTGGCACTGCCAAAATTAAACATTAATTCTAGGGCCTGGGTTCTGCTAGGCAAGAAGTTCTTGGTGTTACATTTATAAAGTTGGCTAGATGAACAAAATAGGCAAAAGTTTCTAAAGTGGGGAAAATGTACTCTCACATTATTAGGTAAACATGTTCAACTGCTTGTTAACACAAATATCTAATTAGCCAATCATGTGGCAGCAGCTTAATGCATGTAGACATGGTCAAGACGACCTGCTAAAGTTCAAACCAAGCATCAGAACAGGGAAAAGAGACACTGCTAATGACATGGTGTCATGTATATGTAGTGGAGATGAGGACCCAAATGCACACTCACAGACTGACAGAGTTAAACAAAAAATGAGCCATTTATTTGGACTGTTGACCAAAATACAAAAGATGAAACACAAAAATACAAAAGGGAACTAAAAAAGGCTACTTACAGAAACCTAAACTGGGAATAAACGCTAGGGAAAATGCCACTGAAGCTGGGAAACACAAGGCAAAAAACATCAACTGATGCTCTGCTGTATATATAGACGGCAACTACATATTTCTAAAAGGGTGACCGGGGGACTGGAAATAGAAAATAGAGGAAAACGAGACACAGCTAAACAGAATCAAAGCAGACGAGATAAAAGAAACAAAACTCTAGACAACAAACAAGGAACCACAACCTCCCAACAACAAACAGGAAGTGAGATAACTAAATGGGGAAAACACAGACATGACTGGACTAAATACAAGGGAAAAGACACAAGAGGATGAAACACTGGGAGAAGAGCTAAAGTCTAAAGCATGGATATCAAAAATAAGGCCCTGGGGCCAGAGTCAGCCTTCTGAAGACATTTGTTGCCATCAAAGATCATTTGATGCCTTTCTTTTTGTTAAATAAAAATGTATTTTATGCTTGAGTAAATAAAACACCCTCTAAAACACTGATATTCAGTTGTTACTGGACACATATACATTGAGTTCATCGAACTTGATTTGCTGAAACAGTTGCCTCCTGGAGCTGGGACTGCAGGTTCCACTTGAGCTTGTAAATATGGTTGGAAACCAAAATAATGATCTAAAATAGGCTAAACAGCTGGAAACACCTCACATTACACAAAGAAAACAGGAGATGATAACAATAATAATAATGCATTTATATTACCACACATATAATTAATGTATTTTTTTTCAGTTTTCCTTCTATTTAGTGTCGTTGGCCTGATTTATAATAAAGCCTTTCTGATAACTCTAATATGTTTTTATAGTTTTATTATCAAGGTGCTAATGTGGTCCAGATGCGCTTTCTGAGATTGCACAGTGGCACAGCTGTACAGAAGGTTACCTACTCCTGCCACCCAGGACACAGACTGGGCCCAGCCTACCGAGATGTCAAATTCCTCACTGACTCAAGGACACAAAGTTACCTCGGAGCAGTTCAAGATTGTGTGGTATGTAACAGAACTACTGAAAAATATCTTCCTATTTGACTTTTTTTCTCCTCCTTTTTGCCAGATTTGCAAAAGGTTGGACAGATTAACTCAACATGGGCAGGGTGTAGAAGGACATAAAGCTCTGTTAATCCAAGATAGTTTGGAAGGAATTCCCAAAGGCCCAAAATAAAAAAAATTAATTAAAAAGTGAGAAAAATATCTGGCATCTGTATAAATGTAGTAGTAATCTGTAAGAGGAGTGAAGATATTTGAAGATACCACCTTTATACAAAACAAAAAATAAAATACTGTGTACTGTACTGAAGATCCTGAATGTTTTATATGTAAGTAAATGGCATGTGGTTTGTGGAGCTCAATGTGCAAAAAATACATACAGTTTTCAAAAATCAGGACTTGCTTATTAAACAAAGAAAAAAGAAGAAAAGTAGTTTCATGTAAAATGGCATAAATGTGTCAGTCTGCTATCAGTTTGTGACTGAATGGGGTCAAGTTGACAATTACATGCAATCTGTTTGTGAGAACACAGTGATTAACTGTGATGAATTGGCAAAAAATCTGTATCGATCTGCGTATTAGCTAATTAGATTTAAAGTACAGCCAAAGTATCACAGATTTGAGACAGAAATTCCAAAAAACCTTCACAAATAGGAGTTTGGTTACTGCAGTCGTACTGAAGCTGTATTTTTTGGTCCTGTTTATGTGCGTACATGTCATTCTGTCACTCTGTGTGTAAACACAATACCTTTAAAAGTTTTAAATAAATTCTGATACAACTTTGTTCAAGTGTACAGTGGGGTCATCCGTTCAAAATTGGCTTACAATACAATTTCATTTATATAGCACATTTAAAAAACCACAGGTATGCCAAAGTGCTTCACAGAACGAGTTAGAGCAATAATAAATACAAATACAAATAAAATATACTAACAGGCGGGTGACATAACTAACCAATAATACACCAGGCATAGTAGGCACAACCCGAAAGGCTGAAGGTTAAAACATTATTAATAAAGCGAAAAAGATAACTTACAGTACACCAAAAATGTGGGCTCTAGGAGGCGGGGAAAGCAAGGCTAAACAAATAAGTTTTTAATCGAGATTTAAAGTATTGAATTGAATCAGACACCCGAATAGCTAGAGGGAGGTTATTCCAGAGGTAGGGTGCGACAGCGGCGAATGCGCGGTCACCTCTGGTCTTGAGCCGAGATCTAGGTCGCACCAGGAGCATTTGGCCTGCTGATCTAAGCGCTCTCCCAGGGATATAACAGCTGAGGAGATCCGTAAGATAGCTGGGGGGAGCAATAAGATTTTAAAATCAATACGAAATTTAATAGGGAGCCAGTGCAGGTCGGAAAGAACTGGAGTAATAGACTCAAACCTGCCAGTTCCAGTTAAAAGACGCGCTTACAACCTTCAAGGTCAACTTAATGATTTATTGGTTGAAACTTGGCAAAAGGTTTAATAACTTAGAAACTATGATTCTTACAGTTGTGGTGTGTCAACATATAGAAAGTACCATGTAAAGATTTCAATTATTATGTCACATTTGACCTCAAGGTCAATAGGTTGACCTAAAAGGCCAAAGTGATAATAACGCTATATCAAGTATTTTAAAACTGTTTCTTACAGTCATTGTTTATATTGTCAACATGTAGGCGTATAGAGAATGATATATGAGGATTCTAAATATCGCAATATTTTATCATGACTTTGTTCTGTACATTACAATTACAGGTTATAATCATTTAAAAACACAACAGTTTGAATACATGTACAATGATCCTGAATAAGATTTACTTTGGGGTTTGTTTTTTTTTTAAACAAAGTAAACTTCCTGATTAAAACCTTTTTTTCACTTAATATTTATGACTAAACATTTAAGTGAATTTTACTAAACAATTAAAAGAATGCTACAAATATAATATATTCACATAAATAAAAATAGTAAAAAAATATTTATATTCAAAATGATATCAGGTAATGGGTTTCAACTGGGAAGATAAGAAAAGGCTGCACTTTTTAATGCAATAAAAGTGCATTTCAATACTATTCCCTTAAAAGTAAATATTGGTCCGAGACTGAGCTGTGTGGGTGGGGGGTTGCACTCTCGCAGTTATGCTTGTTTCTTTGATCTTAACAGAGAGAGTTTATGTATGTATGTATACCATTTATGTATATTCAATTCAAGAGAAAGAGAAACTTATCTAAAGCTGATCTCTACTTAGGGTTTACTACTGTAAATGTTCAAATGTAATCTATTTTTGGTTCATCAGCCTGGAGAGGAGATGGAGTCTGGTCCTCGGGAGTCTGTGCTGGAGTTTGAGGACCTCCATCTCCTTCCTCTGAGAGACGTGGCACTAATGGGAGGAGGAAACGCGACATACCAGTTTGGCCTCACTGTTGGACCTGTGTGTTTCAGCTAGAGATGGGAGAAAACTGTACCATCCCGGAAGACTCTCAGGTCCAGGACACAAACTCTCTTTAAATCATGAACAAGTGGAACCTTCCAGTCTGTGAAGTTTTTGCTTCTTTATCCTCTAGTGTTGGAGGATTTTATCCCTCAAGTTCAGTGACTTTGTATGACTGAATCTTTGAGGCCAATAGTGCCCCCAGGCTTTTTTTCACGGAGAAGGCAATTTCGTTTACAGAGACATTAAATAATTTAAGTGTATGTTTTTTTGTTGGTTTTTTTTACAAGCATCCTTTATACAGTGTTTTGTTTTTTGTTATGCAGTTGTGCAGGGATAGTGTTACAGCTTGCTCACTGTATATATAAAACGTCAGACTGTCCTCACTGATGTCTATAACAATGTGTTCTTTACAGGGACACGGCTTCTGGTGTCCCATAGGCCTGTAAAGCTCTCACTGTAAATCCACTGTTCTAGTACTGTAAGTGAACCTAGGTGTCATTTTTCTCAAGGTGCTAATTTTATTCAAAAGACCACCATTTATTTAATACAAAAACCAATAGAAAAGGACAGTTATGTTACTTGATTTTACCTGTCTGTTGTCAACAAGACCAACTGTCTTCATCTCTTGAAATACAAATTATTGTTTATTGTTTTCAATGTTTAATGTTGCTATGTTTTTTTTTTGTTTCCTTTCTTTAAATTTGTCTCAGGTATGACTACACATGTTGGCACTGAATCCGATGTTGCCACTCTGTTGTCCAGTTTTGTAGTTTGGCCTTTAAACCAAACCTAGAAAATCTTGATTTCAAACATTGGATAAATACACATAATCCAACAGTGATTTGCTAATGGTAAATGAAAACACAATATGTGATTGTCCACCCCTCATCTTGTAGCTAGAGATACTCACCAGAGAACTAAATGTGATGCAGCACGAGAAAAGACCAAGTATCATGGCTGTGCACAGAAACAGCCAAGAAACAACCAGACTTTCTAATATTTCCCATGTTTATGATCACTGCCTGCAAATATCTCTCAAAACAATATCTGTGAAATGCATTTTATTCAAGAGTTTAATATGCATAACTTTGCATATAAGCAACACACAGTTTTGGTCCACATGCTCATCCAGCAAAGCTCTCGGCTACAAGGGGGAAATCCTCACTCAGCACAGCCGTATGGGGTGAGCTGGCCAGCCAGCCAGTGAAATGTCATCTCTGTTGTGGGCAAAAGACCTGCAACTGACAAATAAAGGCTATCTCATCTCATCTCAAATGTGGCCCTTTAGCGATGCTGGTGGCTTTTTTGACTTGTGGCGGCAACGCTGTGTGGCTTGTGATCCATTGGCAGTCGCTACAAGTGACTGTTAATCTATTTGCATCATTAATGAAGTAGAATAATTTACAGAACGGATACAATTTCAAATAGAAAATAAAGATAGATAAATGTTTTTGGACGCTAATATAGAAGTTTTTAAATTTTAGGAAACCAAAACCTTAAAAATCTTGGACAAATGTGTATTTCTCCACAGCTGAAAATAGCTGGAAAAAAAGTAATTATTAACTCCAGATTCATTTGTGGTTGTGCATAGTATCATGGTGGCATAAAAATTGTAGCGCCCGTATGTCTCAGGTAATTCCTCAAAGTTTTTTTTCTAACAGAATTCCACTTCAGTTTAGAGAAAAGCATGATTGGTGTAATGACAGTTCTTCTTTTGGCTGCTTAGGTGTCACCCCAGTGGATCATCTTCCTCCATCTCTAGCTCTCCTGTCACAGCAACCCTCTGCATGTCCTCCTCCACTATATCCATGAACCTCCACTGAGGTCAACTTCTTTTCCTCCTGCCTTCAGGAGCATCTTCAACATCCTTTGTCCAGTGTCCCTCCTTTTCACATGTCCAAATCATCTCAGCCTCACCTCTCTAACTTTGTCTCCAAACCGCTCAACCTGAGCTATCTTTCTGATGTACTCATTTCTAATCACGTCCATCCCGGCAAAAATCTTAACATCCTCAAATCCTGAAATCTGCCTTCTGTCATCTGTCTTTCTGTCAGTGCCACCATCTCCAAACCATGCATCATAGGTTTCACTACCACGACCATTAAATTTTGAGATGTTTCCGCATCCAATAACTAAGTAGATAATTAAGTAAATAAACAAATTAGTAGTAGATTTTGAATTGGGTTACACCTTGGAAACCATACAGGAAAAAAAAACAACTAAATTGTCAGACAAAAGTGGGTAATAATCCAATACAGTTTACCATCACATAGACTGCATGCAATGAAAGCCTGCAAAGATATGACTGGTCAATGCAACTACAAGTGGAAACCAGAGCTTTCAGTACCAATCCCTTGGTACATTCTATATATTCATATAGAGATTACCAGCCGTATTAAAGTTAATACTGGTTTCCAGCTCCATATTTGTAATTCATGTGCTTTACGACAGCAGCTTTGCATGATTCACAGTTGGAAAAAAATCCTTATTTACCTGACACTGATCCTTTGTGCAGCCTCAAACAGACTGTTTTGATTCCTTTCCCTTTAAGCCAGCTTTGTTGTGATTGGCTGTCCCTTACAAACAGAATGTTCTGACAGCAAGTGGGTGGGTCTTCAGTGCTCACATCCAGAGCTTTGACTCAAAAATGACCATATTAATATTTATTCTGTCTTTGACATCACAGATCCAGTATAAGTAAAAGAAAAACAAAACAAAACGTAATCTAAGCATTTACAGCTCTCTCTAACACGTAGACCTTTTTTTTTTTTTTTTTTTAAGAAATTACCATTTAATTTAAAAAAATTGAATCCACACTAGGTCTAGAAATATCCTGATTATCTAACTTACTGTTTGAAAGAAATCTCCGTCCCGGGTCATCCGTGGATCGGGTTTTCCTCCGAGGCGTGGGCACCTATAAGCAGAGTTTTGTCTTTACCCTATAAGATTCAAAATTATTCAAAGTAACACTCAGGTATGCCGTTCAGCAGGTTAGTTACGACGTCGGGAGTAGCTTGGGAGAACAAGGAAACACAGACTGCTTCAGGTTGCCTTCCCAAACCAACTCAAAGTTTATTCATCATACAACAGTTTATATAGAGGAAAAAGGTTCGTGTGTCAGCAGATTCTCAGTTCAAACCGGTACAGACCAAATAAGGAAGCGTCTTCCTGCCCTCTGAGCAAAGAAGTATCCTTTGTGTAGTTTATCAGTTCAGCTACAATTTATGATTATCCCAGCAAAATGCACTCCTAGACATAGAATACAGAGTTCTTTCATTAGTGAATTCTGAAACAAACCACCTGGCCTTTAACAAGCCTTTTTCTAAGAGATAAAGAAGGGAGGATGGGAGTAAGGAAGTGATCTGTGTGGTATTTTCGACCTTGAGGTACCAGCCTGTGATTCTTACACATTAATTCTTGGGTCACAGAGAAAGAGAAAAACAACTAGTAAATGGGCCTTATTGAGTAACAGTTTCACGTATAAAAGCACTATAAAACAATATCCTGTAAATGCTACCATGGTATCAAAATATCACAACACTGTTTTCCTCCATTTGCTTTAATGTCTTGGACAAAAAACTGCTGGAATCTGACAATCTGTCACATTTTAAATAAATGTTTCATATCCTTCTCCCCCACACATGTAGTCCTACATCAGAGTTTTTACCCTTTTAACATGGGAAATGTGACATTCAACAATGTGAGAAGTGTTATGCAAACCAAAAAGTGAGACTAAACACATATAACCAGTAGTAGAGTAGTACCCTGACCCTGCTAAGATTCTTTGACTCACTGTTAAACAAAATTACCCACTTAGCTTTGAGAAATTTCTGTTTACCTGAATTTATTCCTTATTCAGTCTGCAAAGTGCTTGGGGTCCAGTGGCAGGAGGAAAATCTCATAGCTACTCTACAGAATTTGTGCTTGTGTCCCAGAGTCGGTCAGCTGTGAGTGATGAGCAGTGTGCTGCAAAGTGTGCACGGAGAGTAAGATGTCAGGGAGATGGTGGTGAGAGCCCAAACAACATCAGTCCAACTGGAGAACTAAAAAAACCATCATTCTCAAACCAAAGTCTGCCGGGAACCAGAGAGCCAGAAGTCAACCAGATGAATTACAATTAAACATCTCAGTCACATTCGTTTCATTCTGGCTTTGTGTTAAATATGTAATATTTTCTTTTTTGTATTTAGATTTTATAATAGCATTTTATATGATTGCCTTAGCTGGCTGAGACTGATCATTCTTACTTTGCTTGTTTTGTAAAATTATCACTCTTAAAAATATGAAACAAAATGCTGGGCATCTAACTTGTGTGATCCCTCCATCAACTTGTTCAAAGTGTGTCAGCTGAATTAAAAAAATACATATACATAACCAAATATTGTCTCAGTTCAATTTTATTATTGTAAGTTTTGGAATTATTTGGTCAGTGAAAACCATCCAACATATTTTGAGTGTTTTTGATGAAACTAAGGTAGGAAGCTATAATTCTTTGATATATGAGAGTGTTAGAGGACTTACTAAACAAACGTATCTGACTTGACAGCATTAAAAAAGTGAAATTAAATGTTTAATAATTTTTGTGCTCAACCAAACAGTTGATTTGTCACTTTGTGGTGCTAATCCTAACATAACCTAAATGTTATTAAAATTGATTATTTGCCATAAAATCAGCCCACTGGACCCATTTTATTTATCCATTGCTGTTGATAAATTACATGTTAGCACAGCAAGAATATGCTGAAATAATTTCCTCAGTAAGTAATTTTTGTAACTTTCCGAGTTAATATTAGTAAATATGGTAAAAATCAAGAGTAACATGTGGAAATCAAAAATATCACAACTAATTACCGTTTGACCAAATTATAGTAGCTGGTAAATTAATATTATTAAGCTGTCAAAATTAGAATTTCATGTTTAACTAGTACTATATGGACGCTAAGCAGTTAAAAGTCACATGCTCCTGTGGCAGATTTGTGAGCGGAGTCTCATGATATCATCCACCTTCAACCACAGTGTGTTTGAGGTCATGGTTTCATATGAAGCCAACGGGGCTGGCACTCTCCACCAGTATATTGCTAACAAACTAGATGAGTGGGGCTTTAAATTGTTCTGCCAAGCAAGTTCATCTGGCATCATCCACGACTTGCTTCTGTATCAAGGGGGATCTACATTCTTCAATGCTCCCCTCAGTGAAAAGGAAAAGAAGCTACCTCTAAGGGGCCAAAGTTGTAGAAATCACTATGCAAAAAGAACCTGAGGTCTTCAC